TTTGACCACTATGGACAGGTGACCACTTTAGAGAGATAGCAATTAGTTGACCCCCCCCCCCAGTGACTCAATTCACAAACATATGAAAACATTCATTGCACAGGTAAGCCTCTTTTTAAATGTAACATTACATGTTATAATTTAATTGTTGTTCTGAAAAATGTTATGAAAAATGGCTTACATGACAATGCACTGGAGCTCTATATAAGTAAAAACTAAACACTACGCTGTTTCACGTGAGTGATACAATATATAGGAAAACATGGATTACGTGGTTATGTACAGAAAAATAAAGCTGACATCAGTTGTCTGCTGTCTATATAGTTGCTGTCCGGGCGTGTCAGCATCTTGTTATAACCATGCGAACTTTGCTCAGTTAGCACACAGGTTAGCCACACTACGGCAGGTTGTGAAATACAATAATAGATAAAACATCAAAGACTATATCTGACTGTCTATCTCCGTGTGTCAACATCACCTAGTCTAGAACAATTTTACATTAGTCGTGTCATCAACATCAGGTGTGTAGTACAAACACTTCGTGTATTATATATTTGTTCTTCTCACCAGTCCCGTATCATAACTTCAGTGTATGGCAGCCGTAACATGTTACCTATGATTGACGTGCATTGTTTACACTAACAAATATACGTCAATCATAGGTAAACTTTGGAACGAATAGTTGTCCAAAGGTGTGTCTGGCAGATATTATAAATGAGTTACCACCTCGGTGAGAAGCTCAGAGTGGTTAGTTCTCACCGTGGAGAGTCTTGTGGGTTCATTTCTGTTAGTGTTTGTCTCCTGTGGACGGTCCAACGTTACCACGAAAGACTGGAGGTACGTGTGAACACTTTGCGGAGACCTGACGAGAACTTATAGTGTGTTTTAAAGAGGGACAGTTTCTCAGCTTTCCAGAACTGGTACGATTAGTCTATTGTCTGAGTTGTTCGCCTCCACTAAAGAAGCCGCCGATTTGCCGTCGGGTGGCTATACCAGCTAGTGTAACAAAACAGAAGCGGATACTGTCGACACCTCCCGCCAACCTTGCGTACGGTTGCCTTTCTCCGCTCAAGAACTGGGAGTACACTCGGGTTACGGTCTGTTCGCTGGAAAACAACAAAGCCGCCGCTGATTTCAAGCTGGTGTCTATTGCGCCAAAGGGTTGCTATACCGGTGGAACATAGCAGAAGTAAAAACAGACGGGGATTCAGACTTGAATCAAACTACTGAAGAAGAAAAAACGCCGATATTTAGAATAAAAGTCCACTCCTGTAAATGAAAATCACTGCGAGGTCTCAAATACTGTACCAGACACAGATAACCGTGGCCGTAAGGGCAAATTATATGAATCAATTAAACTTAATTGCACAAAAAAATGTCGCAGCTGCAGGTACCATGTATGGCAAGTTCTTGAGAAACATTGAACGAATATCGCTGTTGCCTACAACAATGCTAAGAAGTTCTATAAGGCCACAGCAAGTAAATTTTATGGATGACATCCTCCGCAGACTCCAAATCTAATGCGAGCGGGCGAAAAAAAAACAAGGCGGGTCGAAAAAAACAAGGTTCCTACAATTTAGAATTTTGACTCAATCATTGTACAAATGGTTTTGATTCAGTAGGAACATCACATATACACAGCAAGCATCACATATCACCGCATCAAAGTAAGAAACAAAACATTAAATCAAAGCCTTTTCTTGTTTCCTCTCTTCATAGATATCTGCCATCCACCTTCCAGCATGGCAGACATCTTTGCCCATTTTCGGCATGTTGACCACTGTCAGAAGCCAAAAAAAGTTCTTGTTTTTTTTTCCAAAATCAGGCGAAAATTAATGAGCGCGCGGATGTCATCCATAAAATTTACTTGCTGTGGCCTAACTAGACACTATGGCATTTTTGTCTGATTGATACAATATACATGTATAAAATATTAATGAAATGAGTTTCTTTGTAACTTAAGACTAAACACTACGCTATTTTATTTAAGTGATATAATATATATATGTCAAATGGCTTACATGACAATGTACTGGAGTTGTATGTAACTAAAAACTACAAGTAAGCATTACGCTGTTTTATATAAGTGATACAATATATTGGAAAACATGGATTACGTTGTTATGTACAGGAAAATAAAGTTGACACCAGTTGTGCATATATATATAGTCGCTGCCTGAGGGTGTCAGCATCTTGTTGTAATCCCTCTATAGATAAAAGGGACTGACAAAAAGTCCAGCAGTAAAACTACCAACAGACTCCTGAAATCGTAGCTCACAGATATCATGGCATCTGCTTCCTCTGAGACAATAGACGATCCGCGGCTCAAGACAATAAAGAGCGAGCTTGGAAGTGTATATTCGTCGACATTTGAAAAAACGCAAGGCGATGAGGAGGAAAAAATGTCAGCTTGTTGGGACATCTACCGCTTACTGATCCCAGACAAGCTTCTCCCACCAAAATTCCTGATGCGCAAAACAAAGATTAACTTTCAACGCACAGAAAGACTTGAAAAACAGTTACAAGATGTTGTTACTGCAGACCGGGGGATATTGAGTGATCGTGCTAAAAAGAAGATCGCTGAGTTTGTTAAGCACATTGTCAAAGAAAAAAAGAAAATTGATGGCCCAGAATCCGCGTTGAAAGCACTGAATACTGTGGAAGCTCAACAATTTTTAAAGCGCATAATAAGAGTACTGTATGACGCCGGAGAAATTATATGGGACACGGAGGATGAGGATGGGAAGGCTGTGAAAGGAGTCACAAAGTTCTGGATTCTTGATTACGAGGAGCGAAGGCTGCTTGAAGCATCGCAGCTCCATTCTTGTATTACACGTAAGTCGTGGCATGTGCCGCGCAAGGATGGCAGAAAAAAACTCATGCCAGTAATGTATTGGTTAAAGGAGAAGAAAAAACGAAACGGCGAGGAGGAGGAGGAGGAAAAATCTACCGTTTGGGTAGAGTATAATCGGGAGACATACGGGGACGGCAGTAAAGATAATTCGAAGGGGACGGAGAAAGATCCTCCATCGTGGGCTACTGAGTATATAGCGCAGGCGCAGGAAAAACTCACAATAAAAAAAAATGACCCAATAAAGACGTTCCTCCCGGAAGATAAACCTAGCACATGTCATAACGCAGTGTACCTCCTTCTCTGTCGCTTTAAGGGTGTACCCAAAGAATACAGCGTACAGGCTTATGCAGGAAGGGCTACAAATGGAGTAGAAGGCAGATGGTCAGATCATGCGGATAAGTCCGCGGAACTCATAAAAACCTACCATGAGTTGCTTACATTCAGTGAAAGCCCTTTAGGCTTGGGTAAAACCTTACTTGTTGAGGTTGTAATCGGTAGACTATACGCGCAACATGGCAGGAGAGGCCTAACTGAAAATGATACTACAGCGCACGATAATATCGCACTCTTTATTTACAACGCTTACGGGGAGGGCAAGACTGGAGAGGACCGCATGAAACAAGAAGAAAGGGACCTCATAAAGTATCTGAAATTGAAGGACATGGCGTGTGGGATGAATGGACGTGAGGGATAGCGCGTTTTTCATGTTGTAGAGCAGGATATTGACATAACCGGTAAATCATTATTCATGTGAGGAAATTCTGCATTAAAAACGGTTGAGACTTTAGCTATTTTGTGAAACAGAACAAGTGACATGTGTAAATAAGGCCCTTCCTGTAGAGAGGTCCTGTAGACTAGACCTGTGATTAAAGAGGTCAAAACCAAGGAAAACTGCTCTGAAGCTTCACTTCCAAACAAAGTACTTTATTCCAATGATGCAGTACGACAATACAAGATACAATGTAGCAAGTCTAGAAATGCTAATTTCTAAGCAGATCTTTCGGTGGCCGCAAAGACAGTATCAAATTGGCCAGGCAGTGCCCATTGGCCACCCGATACTGTCTGGCCAATGCATACGGCCTGGCCATCTATTTCATACTGTCTTTGCGGCCACCCAAAGATCTGCTTGGAAGTTAGATCCTTGAGTCGAGTCACCTCGCCATTTATCACGTCACAGAAAGCAAACACGAGCTAAGTACATGTAGCTGTGTAAACATGAAAAGTGACACCTAGCGACCGTATCAAGTACGCCAATTATGGATTGAGGCCATACAATACCCCCAAATACAATCTGCAGGATTTTTCTCAACCGCTAGACTTGACCAAACGTGATATGTATAAACGTTGCGCAATGACATCAAGACGTTGCCCCAATTATCAAATTTTACAAACATTTATAGTCAGAGTCGCAGCTATAGAATAGAAGCAAAGTTCAACTCAAAGCGAATTAAGCGATATGTATTATGCAAAGTTTTGCAGAGCACCCAATACCTGTACAGCATAACACTCGCCCACACAAGTACATATGAATGATCCATTTGACTAGGAATATCAAAACACCCCTGGATCATTTCACATTTAAGGAAGTTCCGTCGCAAATTACTCATGATATACTTCACATGGGAGGTATACCAAATACACACCTCAGCATTGTGTCAGACTACAAAAATATCCTGCAGTTTTTTAATTTATAAAATCTCGTAGGGTGTGAGAATTGTAATTGTGCAAAACGTTCTTTCGAAAGCAAGTCATTTACTCAAGAATGTGCACTACCAGTAAAATATTAAAACTAAACTTTAAAACCGAAATGAATATTTCATAGTTTTCTCGTTTATATTCATTAAAACATCATTATTTTGCGTCCCACCCTTCCTGATCCATTCATAACGTCTTGGGTGGATCAAGGAAATTATACACACTATCTCCCTGTGTATAATGTCCTTGGGTGGATTTATCATATATGTTTCACTCAATTATACCAGTCAACTGGAGCACTTGGCACTATCTACAAACACAGTTTCCTTCAGTGATATACATTTTATAAATTCTTTCTGTTGAAAAAAAATACTTAGTAAAAGATAGATGAATCTCGATACAACTTGGCTATAAGAAGAAGAATTCTCTAGGTACTGCGGACATGATTTGAACACTCCTGTAGTGACTGTAGTTTACACGACGTCGCCCTCTTTTCCCTTCGCATGGAACAGACAGCAGGCAAAGATCATCCCGATCAGCTGAAACACAAAGTAGAGAAGTTACGATCCCGGGTACGAGCGACAAGCCGCGGATATATAGAAACCATAATCTCCAAGCAGATATTTTGGGTGGGTGAAAAGGCAGCATCAAATTGGCCAGGCAGTATCCTTTTGCCAGACAATGTCCGGTACCCCCTCCTAAGAGCGTCCAGGGTGCCAAATGGATACTGCCTGGCCAATCTGATACTGTCTTTTCATCCACCCAAAATATCTGCTTGGAGATTAGAGAGCCCATACAGTATGCTTGAACGCTGAGATTAACAGACGTACACAATATCATCACTAAGAGTCAATGTACTCCAACATAGGCCGCTACGTAACTAAACCATAGGGACACGACTCTGTCCTTGGTGCTGAAAACCACTCAAATCACACTTGTGCACCGAACCGTCATAAACTAAAGATTCTTATAAACGTTAGCATCCATTGTCGGGTTTTAAACAACTAGAGTATTGTGGGCACAATTCTAACTGGCCGTAAACATTTAGCATGTTTTCTGTTGTCTCTAAACTTTCTAAATGACTAAATTTGTCTGAAATGTAATTTGACTATGAAGTAATCATAACATCAACTGTACCTCTCGATAAACCTACAGGTTTTTGGATTCTTCTGCATATGCCTACATAATTTTCAATTATCTGACTTTTTTAAGTGAAAACAGAAATAAACAATAAACAATAATTAGTTATGTGTTGTTGTATGACTGAAAAGAAAGTTTTGAAGTGTCCTGATTTGGCTCATCTGACTCACTATGCAGAACGTGTTCATGTACGGGTCTTAGGCTCTTACTGGTCTTATCTTTTAAGGATGACATCCACGCGCGCATTGATTTTCGTCTGTTAGCGACAATACGGAGCCGGTGGTAACCCCGGAGGATGGCACTAATGGCACCAAAGCTCCACAACTTAAGAGCTCAGTACAAACGTACAGTGCCGATTAATAAATTCCGCAAAAAGCCAGCATGTGCCGGCTTGTCAGTTGTCGTGTATGTCACCATGTACCGCTGCAAATTCACAATACCAGCTGTGTATTCCTGTGGTTTAGTAGCATTCTTATTTTTGGCCGGAATTTTCTTATTCGCCCGCGCGCACTAGTTTAGAGGTCTTCAGAGGATGTCATCCATTAAAAAAAATTAAGTCGGTGTGGCCTTAGTGCATAACACATGAAGTATACACTATGTAATGTCGTACCTGGGTAAGCCCGATGCCGATGCCGACCCCGCCCACAACGAGGGCCTGGCTCATCAGGAAATGGATGATGGAGGTTTTGCAGGGCTGGGGGAAGGGGGGGGGGAGAAGGTAAGATTTTTTACATTTTTCTTGTAAGACTAGAAGTTTGTAAGATTGCGGACTGAAACCATATGATCAAGTTGTACCAAAAAGACCTGATTCCTACTCAGATCTAGAAGACTTGATATACAATTTTAATAGATTTTGTAATTAGCAATATAGCTATGGGAGACACAATTTCTGCTTATCAATTCATGTGTCACAAACGGAGCTGCTGTACCTGGTTGTAAGTCCCACCGGTACAGATGCTGCTAGCCGCCATGCCGGCGGCACAGTCGCACGAGTCCGGCTTGGGGTTGTAGTTGTCGGTGGCGTTCATTCCGCAGCACTTCAGCTGTGGGGACAGTAATTATGCTGTCAGTAGGGACAGTACCACAATTGGTAAAATATTTTGAACCCAAAAGTCTAGATCACATTTCCAGACGGGGACCCGGCCGGGAAAAATAAACACAATGATATTACAGAAATATTGCTTTTGAAAATTTTTGTGTGTTGTCGAAACTTTGTTCCTGCAAACTTTAATATCGATCGGGCTCCGGGTAGGGAGTTGTGACCCTAGCATTAGGATGACGTTCAATGGCACAATTGATCAATTGCTGACGTCACGTATCCCTAAAGTCTCGTGTAAACGAAGTCACGTGTCTGTAACCGTAACTCTCGCGGGTGTACGTTGGGAAGTGATTGGTTATTCCTTGATGAAGGCGACAGTGATCGTTGAAAATTTGATCCTTCATTCGTTTGTGTACCCTTGTATGTGTTGGGATGAAGTCTAGCATGATTACTACCAACACAGACGAACTTCAGTAATAAGTATGATTACCGTACCAATTGCAATTGTCGTCGCTTTGTATAACGCGACGCGCCACAATCTTCTCAGATTTGCCAAACTATGAGAGTCTAACGAGTATTGGGGAAGGATTCATATCTTCACATATGATTCGGTTAGAACTCACGTATGTCTGGGTGAAGTCGACCAGGCGCTGAAAGGCTTGGTCGGCGTTGTTGTAGTTCACTGTAGACACCGTGTCCACAGCGGAGCCGATCAGGCTGAAGAACTGCACGGAACACAAGCAACAGGTAGGAGTTACGGATGTCAAGATTCTATATGTTAGCTAGATATAATTACAGAATACGTGTATAATGAGAAAAGCTTAGCTGACATTTTCATGGCCGTTAACTGACTATCACTATTTAAAATCATCCCTCGCTGCATGAGTCCTCAGCGAAAAATCAATGTACAATGAAGTCGATTTTTTTGGAAGAAGAAAAATTCTGCCTGTGGCTCTGACCTGTCCGCGCTGCACGAAGGCATAGATGGCCACGCCGATCTCAGCTATCAGCAGGATCAGCAGGAGGGTGAAACTGCAGGGAGAGAGATGTGTCAGTCATAGACACTCCTTTCTTCATTCATTCATTCGTTCCTTCATTCGTTCATCCAATCCATCCATTCATTCATCCATCCATCCATCCATCCATCCATCCATCCATCAATCAATTAGGGATACTACTACTATTACTACTACTGCTACTGCTACTATTACTACTACTACTACTACTACTACTACTTCTACTACTACTTCTACTACTACTACTACTACTACTACTACTACTACCACTACTACTGCTACTACGACTACTATTATTACTACTACTACTACTATTACTACTACTTCTACTACTACTACTACTACTCTACTACTTATTACTACTTCTACTACTATTACTACTACTGCTACTGCTACTATTACTACTACTACTACTACTACTACTACTTCTACTACTACCTCTACTACTACTACTACTACTACTACTACTACCACTACTACTGCTACTACGACTACTATTATTACTACTACTACTACTATTACTACTACTTCTACTACTACTACTACTACTACTTCTACTACTACTACTACTACTACTACTACTATTACTACTCATACGTGACTTTTACTACTACTACTGCTACTACTACTACTACAACTACTAATTATTCTACTACTACTACTACCACTACTACTACTACTACTACTACTACTCTACTACTACTCTACTACTCTACTACTACTCTACTACAGTAACTACTACTACTACTACTACTACTACTACTACTACTACTACTACTACTACTACTACCACCACCACCACCACCACCACCACACGTAGATTTTAAGCTATACAATACAGGTAGTAGGCACACTGTAGAATGTAAGGTAAATCATGCCGTACCGCTCCCAGCATGCAGCGGTTCTCCTTGATGGCCCCGCAGCAGCCCAGGAAGCCGACGATCATGGTGATGACGCCGACCACGATGAGCGCGATGCCGCCGCCGCGCACGAGCAGCTCGCTCAGGTTCAGCAGCTGGAACACGTTGGACACGCCGTACGCCACCATCACGTAGATCCCCACTCCAACCAGCCCGGCTCCCGCGAGCTGAGGGTAGAGAGGGCAGACTTTTAGGCTCGGAACCTTCCTCAGACCACCAATGTTGGATAAAGCCCCTATCTCACATTCACGAAGTTCCCACGATTTTTTTCCCGAAAATTCGAACACTAGCCGAACAGGTCGGCCGGTGCTCGGGAGCACGCTGACCAAATTTAGGCAACGCCTACCTTTCGTACTTGAATCAAAACGAATTTGAGTTGAATTGGAGCCAACCTAACCTTTGTTGGGGGGAGGGGCGTTCGGTAGTGTTCAGGAGGCCATATTCAGCTGTATGTGCATGACAGGGGCTTTGGGCACCTGTTCACCTGTTTATATTAGAGTCACATGTAAAACAAGACGAATGTCACTTTGAATGTATGTCCCAAATGTGAGTTACCTTAGTTTCATAGTATGTCCGTTGTAGATGCCATACGTTGTATCGATGTTATTTATGGTGCACGCTACAACTTGAGGACGAAGGTTACTGGTAATAGTACTCTAACTTACTGGGGGCGTTTTGTTTACTGTATGTCTCGCGAACGCCTCCGTATTTAGAGTTTCTATTGATCAAAGGCTTTTAAAGATATCAGAGCGTCATGGCTTCTAAAAGTGACGGTAAAATGGCTTATTATTGTCACCTTTTCTTTAGAATAACTACAGTTTTGTTTTTCATCAAAGGCTGCTACAGTATAAAGACCATGTCCAGGCCTGAAGCGATGTTTCAAATGATCTTATTTTTTTTATTCCAACATTTACCACAGGACATGGTGACGGCAAACTCAAGGTTTTCAACTTTTTTTTGTGCCGCCACCGACGCAGAGGACAAACGCATGAACAAACAACACTGACATACTCGAGTCAAGCTGATGAAAGTCGTGTAAAGTGCCTTTCCCAAGTGACTTGATCGGTGGCATGACAGGATTCGAACTCGGGACTTCTTGGTTCCGAGCAGAATGATATGTCGTTACGCCAAACGATCCCACGAATGATCTCACTTGTGTGCATCGTACGTTACCCAACAGACCAAAACACACTACGGTACTTCGTCAACATTGAGCTGCCTGACGTGCACACAACAGCGTGAAGACCTTTCACACGAAGGGCGTATTGTTTATTTTATGTTTGGAAAGTGATACCATGGCTGATTCAAACCCTTTGTAAAATATTACATATTTGAACCGGTGTTGGGAATTTTCCACCTCGGATGGCACAAAAAGTACTACAAAAACCACATAAAAAGATCGATTTCAGGCGAATGAAATGATTCAAGGAAAAAACCCTGCACCCCTCGTGGTTTGTGAGTGGTATAGTCCTTGTTTTGAGTCCTCAAAAGTGTTTTCGACTCTTGAGATTTTGAGGACACGGTAGATTGCGCTCTGTTGATACAAGCTCTCACTGCCACTGACTGGGTAAACGGGTTAGTCTGACCGACCGGCAAATAAAACATGAAGGGGCTAGTCCACTAATAATAGGGTAGGGGGCAGGAAAAAAAACTTACGTCGATTTTCTGGTATTCACAATCTGTTTCTTTCAATCGGCAAACGTCATGCATTTATATTAATTAACGTTCTTTACCTAAGATGAAACCGAAGCTTACAACCAAGGGAAATAGTTTAATCTTATCAAACTGTAAAAATCACACTCCAAAATGCTAATTCTGAAAATAATACCAAGGATTAAAAGTTTTTGCGTCTCTTGTCTTGTTCACTTGCAAAAGCTCATTCTATTTTTCAACTGGAGTAAGCTGACTGAAACTGTGTGAAACTTGTTTGAAAGACCCCACAAAAATGGACGAAAACTAGTTTCACTTTAACCTTGTTAACCATTGCCTTTGTATTTTGCCGCTCCCCTGCTAATAGCCTATCCTTTTTCACTCAGTTCATAAATAAGCTTCAAAGTTTTGAAACGTTATACCTCGAGGAAACAAAGCTCAACTCCGTATCAATGTTCAAAGGCCGAAGTACCCCAAACACAAGGATATCTAAAAACATTAGGGTTATATTTGCGCGACATCCGGCGATTCCGAGAAAACGTGAATTTGTTTGCATGTCAAGTGTTTTGAGAAACAATCGTTGTAGATACCGTTCCCTGTAACTGTCTGAATATATGAAAATACTTTACGTTTAGGAACGCATCTGTAAGCAGCGACACCTGTGCTGTGCAATGTGAACCTGTCAGAATTGCCCTGAGGAAGTTGACAAACGGTCACCGAAACTTCTTCTGAATAATACAAGTTTGGTGGGTAAAAAGAGTCTTCTTATTCAGAAACATATTATTTTACAACACTGGCGTCTTCCCACACAAGGGAACCGTGAGAATTTCCCTGTCACTTGTAAGTGTGTACGACCTGACTTACTGCGGTGTTTTTAAACGCCCCTAAAACTCCCTTGCCAGTGTGTACACCTGTGTTTATTATCGGTGTGCCCGCTGTTCACCTGTTTTTGAGAGGCAGCGAAGCGGATCGAGTTACCGTCGGCCGTGACACTACCAAGCTACAGCCGCCATTTTGAGTACTAGTAGCTTCCGTCTGTTAAAGCTAAGACCGTTCTAGCTAAGTCTGTCAGTATCTCATACTGTCTCAAAACTTGACTGGACTATGCAGTATCCAATGCATAACGTTCTATCGGTCTATTTCGAAGCGTGGTTATAGCAATGGCGGTTAAAACAAAGCTTTCACACACTGGTAAATATAGGGAATGTTGTAGGTTCCGTCAATACACATTCATGTTAGCTGTAAATAGCTGCAATTGTTTCTAAAGCACGAAACGTGCGATATTGGCTGTTTGATGTTCGCCAGAGGACTATCTATGCGATCTTTTGGTGTTGTTTCATATGGTAAACGTGCTATAACATGTACAGTCCGTCTTGCAACCTGTTGCATGATTAGGCAAATGTAACGCTTGAAAACACATGTGAGCACGATCGTCCGATTTTGTTGTTGCAAGGTTAGTGTTCGAAGACAGCCACAGCGAAAAATTTAATCGCAAGCCATTAAAAAACGTGAACGAAAAAACCTAACGATTGAACTCAAGATTGCTACTTTAAGGTTAGTACAACAAGTGTAATATGAGAAGAAGACGTTGACATTTTGAAAATGTAAAATCTTCAACGGAAGGAAAAACTTACCCAGAAAATCAGGTTGAAGGCAAACAAGAGGTACTTGATACACTGAAGTCCGCACCCTTCCATCTTGACGTCTTCGGGAAAACTTCGGAGACTTAGAAATTTCTTCAAGGAAATGGAAAGTCCGACTACCTGTTAGTGGTGGTCTTGTTGAATAGTAATGACGTCGTTTAGGGTGGGGTGGGCAGTGCGCATGCGGGTACGCAATGTTGTACCAGTCACCAAAGCAAGCATTTCATCCGTAGGACCGATCCGACCGAACCATTATGAGGGGGGCGGGGAGAGTACTTTCTTTGAAAAAAAAAACTTTCAAAAGCTCCCAATTTAGACATCATATGTTTACACAAAAAATTTAACTGAGTGAAAATCATAGTACGAAAAGAAGAGGAATGCACAGACTGTAGATGTTACGAAATATCATGAGAGGGTTTTTCCACAACCCCCTTCAAACAAGTTCTATTGGTTCGTCCCTTAGTATCGCACGACATGAGCTGACATCCGATCCACCTGACATTGTTCAACACAACAAACACAGAACAAACCACACCATGGAAATAGATCTATACGCCTGCCGTCCCACCCACTGACACAGAACCTTACCCATAAGCATTGCTTTCACAATCGTAACAAGAAACGTTTCTCTTTATTGCGAGTTCACAAAAAGAAAAAGAAGCTATGGGCTAGTAGAACAGGTGTGCAGAGGGGGATCAAAGAGTGGATCTCCGCCCATACAACATTCATCATTTCCGTGTCTGGAGCGTATTGTGTACAGTCAATACGAGCTGAGTATGACTCATTGCTGGTGTTTTGTTTGCGTTGTGTCACCGCATAGAGGCCTACAGGTCACAGAGGAAGATATATAGTATCTATTAAACTCCTTTGGGCGAGTGTAAATCTACAAGCTAATTCCAAGAACTGTTTTCGCTTTTGAGTACGGTACGAAGGTTACGGCCGTTCATCGTGTTAAGGCCATGTTGATTTGATTACATGGATGACATCCACGCGTGCATGAATTTTGGGCCGTTTCCCCCAAAAAAGCGATGTGATACTGTAAATCGTACAAAACAGTTGCAAAATGACCAAATATATACCACAAGTTGCAAAAAAATATTTGAGAACGATACCAGTGTCGCAGAATGCCAAAATCAAGCGAAAAAGACGAAAATGTAAAGAAATGAATTAGAAGACTAGATTATTCGCCATACCATACTGAATGGCATACTACATGTCATTGGTTCAACCTTCATGACCACATAGATTTCATAGTGAAAGCAACTTTTTTTAGCCATTTTTACTTATTCTCACGCTCGCATCAGTTTTGGGGTTGCCAGAGGAATGGCAACCATATAATCAAAACATATGGCCTAAAGTTACTTTGAAATTGAATACCACACTCTGCACACTTAAAAGTGTGGTGCAACAAGAACACGCCATGACGATGTACATGCTTTTAGTATATACTAAAGTTGAACCAAATCACAGGCTTGTAGACTTGCTTATGCTAGAAATGCTATCATTTTAATTTCATAGAAAAAATGGCTCCAATGTTCACAAGTATTTCGTCGAAAGCACAATTTTACGTTTTTAATCGTCACAGGTTTTAAAAGCGTTATAGAAATGTTATGAATACATGTATGTACAGTTTCTCTGGGCCTGTTCGGCTTAGCTTATACATGTACATAAAATATACTAGAAAAAGTAAAAAAAAAAAAAAAATTTTGAGACTTTGAGACTAGAATAATGCATGATACCTAAGAAAGTGAATTGATTATCAAATGTATGGCAATGAATATGTATAAGCAAAAGAACGTCAATTCAGAAAATGTCAAAGTATTATCTAAATTGAAGTAGTTACTGGCCTGCTATATTATCAACTGCTTTACACATCTAGCAAAAAAAAACAGTAGAAAAAGGTTTCTCTGTGTTATACAGGATATGACGTGTCATCTATTTCCGGTATGGCGGCTAGACGACCTCTGATGACCCTCCCTTGCTCCGGATCAGACAACAGGACAGCACCATTCCGATCACCTGGAAAAAGGCGGGAAATGTGGTTAACGACAAGCAAACAAACAAAAAAACAAATAAACAGAAAAATAAACAAACAGTGCTCTGACTAATTAAGGTAACATAATACATGTACAATTTTTTTTTTCATTTAAATTCTAGGGTAAAAAGGAGAAAAAATCCATTTCTTGGGGTGATTCATCAAAAACCAAGACGATGCATTATTTTACTACATGTCTTGTTAATTTTACTTCACACAGTATCAAAAACAAAATACAATAAAGGCAGTGTTGAGGAAAACTTAAGTCCGTTGTAATAATTTAACAATTATATATCAATTCCACTACAAGAAATGGATGGCATTAAACATTTATTATAGAACAATATAGGTACTAAAAAGGACGTTTAACCCCCTCCCTCATTGCAGACAGAATTAAGACACTTATCTTAATAAATTAACAACGGTTAGTTTGATGTGTTTGAAGATGTGCATGGTTCCAGACTCACCAAGATGGCGCCGATGCCGCAGGCCACCCCGGCAATGATGACAGCACTGTTCATGAGGAACATCCGCACCTGCACGTTACACGCCTGCGGGGATACAGAAGTAGAGGTTAAACATTAGCATACGAATTTTTACGTCTTGTGAGTTTGAAATCTTTGGGAAACATTCATGGCATTGATTTTACTGACTAAGTAGCCTGTGTTACACAAACTCTCAGTAAAGGACGACAAGCTCTGGGAAGGGTCCTAAACAGCTCCGGGCTGGCAGTGACTTTCTGTCAGAAGCTGATTGGGCCTCCTCCCAAAAACATGTTGTCTATGTACTTCCAGAGAGTATTTCCATTACAAGAACTACCAATAGGGGCTCATGATTCTTTATCACTATCATCAAAATCAGTACAACAGGATCTCAGGATTCTATGTCACTACTAGTACATGGAAATCAGTCATCACAATGATCACAGCCTCCAACACCAAGATGATGGTAACAACGACAGTTCTTTTAGTCTGACAATAATTAGTCCATGTTTAGAATTATATGCATAAATCAATAAGATTAAGACGTTCTCAATTTTCCTGACTTAGAAGGCCGTCGAGCTTCTATGCCCTGACCAGTGGAAAGGCTTGCTGAAGGCGTGATGTAGTCAGGCTATCAGACAGGCTACTCTGGACTCACCCGATTCCAATTCCCTCCAACACAGTGAGTGACAGTCTTGGTGCATGCACAGGAGGGTGGCTTTGGGTTCCAGTTGGAGGTGGAGTTCATACCGCAACATTCCAGCTGAGGAAAAGAGACGTAAACAGTCAAACAACATGAAAACCGGATCCCTTGATATTAGCCAGGCCTCGAAACTAACTTTTCGTCCTATTATCCCAGCACTGTCCCAAAAATAAACTTCAATTGTCCCGAAGTGAGGATGAATTGTCCCAATCTGGTTTCTAAGAAGTATTGTATGACTTCAACTTGAAGTCAACTTTATTTTGCTTATGTTTACTCCCACTTTGACCTCTATATCCATTATTCTTTCAGATGGTTTTAGGTGCTTTGACACAACAAGCGAGGGCTAAAACTATTACATATATTCGCGCAATATGGAAAGAAAAAAAAAACAGTTTGTTTCGTTTAAAAGCTACCCACTATTACCGATGTTCCTAGGTCTGTATATTTTACTCCACTTCTTTGTGGTGGTTTTAGGTTCTTCGGGGACACAAAACAATGGCCGGTGCACTGTGTTTTGGGGACAGTAAGTATTTCGAGGGCTTGGCAATCACAGTCAGGTATCTTATACACTTAAAACTCGTGATCCCTGTGGTTACTCACGTTTTTCTGCACGAAGTCGATGATGGTGCGCGAGGCCTGGTCCCTGCTGGAGTAACTCGTCTGGGACAGAGCGTCCATCGCCTTCTCAACCACGCCATAGAACTGGGAAATGATTAACAAGAAGATAAACAAAATAAAACAAAACAAAACAAAACAAATAGAAACAACAAAACCGGGATGAATATTCTTCATGGAAGAAAGTCATCAAAATTGGTTATACCGTTTTATGGCGAACGATTTTTGCAACGCTTTAACGGGGCACTAAAAAAACAGATCGTTGCTTGACCAGAAATTTACGGATGCAGTTCAGCATAATGTCGCTAGGAGCGTAATTTCACTCACCTTGTCTTTCTGCACCGCAGCGTAGATGCCAATGCCGATCTCCAAGCACAACAATAGTAGCAGGCAAATGAAGAACTAGAACGAGAAAAAGAAAAACCATTGGCACATATACTAAAAACAATATTATAATTGGTAAAGTTCTGTAACTTACTGATGAAAGCACCACTACTGAAGAAGGAAATAGTATATTGGATCATAGTAATAAAAAGACATCCAGGTTTCATAAAAGGCAATTTTCCAAGATTTAAAAGTTTAGCGTATCTTAACCTTGCTCAGCAAATCATACATTGAGAAAAAGATACAAGTAGGTTTTCTTATAACATTGAAGTTTTAAACATTTGTCTGAGAATATAACACTTTCTTTATGTATATATCAAAAGATGATTTATGAAAACAGAATGGTTCAAAGAAATATTCCTCGAAGATAACTCAAGCCGGAGGGAGACACACACACACATAAGAAGATTACCACGCCGCCTAGCGTGGACTACCATAACTACAACCTACCGTTCCCAGCAGGCAGCTGTTCTCCTTCACGGCGCCGAAGCAGCCCAGGAAGCCGACGATCATGGTGACGACCCCGGCCCCGATCAGGACGTAGCCTCCCGCGTACAGCGTCAGCGTGTTCACCTCAGCCAGCTTCATGATGTTGTAGGTTCCAGTGTCCACAAGCACCCAGATCCCCACACCGATCAAACCCACGCCTGCAATCTGTGGCATAGAAAGGACGGTTGAACCATTTGAGTTTTAACCTCCTTGATTGAACTTTTCACTTTACTGTTTTACCAGTAGAGAGACCTGTCTTGAGTGCATCATGAGTTGGACCTCATACGAGTGTCGTCACAATGATTGACTACAATGACATGGTTGACACGTTTTTATGACGTTTTCCTTGTTATTCGTAGTGCTTATGCTAGCAGATCCACCCCTGGGGCGTCGCCAATAAATGTCATGAAATGGGTTTTCACGAATCCTGAATTTCAAGGAATAATGATTAGAAAAAAATAATAAACACATTTCCATGCCATTATCCTAGATCGCTTGGATTTCTCACTTTCTCTCTCTCTCTCACTCACTCACTCACTCACTCACTCACTCACTCACTCACTCACTCACTCACTCACTCACTCACTTCATTTTTTTTGTGTTTATCAAGTTAGGCCTAGGCCTGTTTATGACAACAAACACAGCAGACCACATTTCGCACTTCATTGCGTGCTTCATTTGACCCTATGATCGTTAAGCCTCAATCATGCTAAGTGTACGTTGTGTACGTGTCAGACCATACAAGAAAATTGCTTTCTTTTGTTGGCGCCGACTTCCCGTTGCCCCGAGTTACCGTTACACCATCGTCTGAAGGACATGTCAATCAAATGACGTACGCGCCCTTTTGTGTTCATCTGAGTCATGTCATGTGTCGCGAAGTCACACATACCTAGCCTCCTTCGCAGACTTGTTGGGTGGTGGTATTATTTTTTCGGTGAGAAACGCGAGTTATGCCGCGGTGGGACGATTTCAGTGCCGCCGAGGGAAACCTTCTCTCCATGGCAAAAACTCACTCGGCGGTAAAATCGTCCCTCCGCTTCATAACTCGCGTCGCTCAACAAGCCACCCAACAAGTCTGCGAAGAAGGCTAACACATACCGATTCATAACAGCACACCTTGTCATGACTCTAGTATGTTATTATTTACGGACAATTGACAGCCAGGCCGTTGCAAGGAATAGTCATTAGTTCCCAAGGACTTCTATCACAAATAGAGGACACACAAAAGTGTCTGTAAACAAAGAAGACAGAACGTTTTATAATGCAGGGAATTTCGATAAAAGAAACATGGCTTTCTCTAGCTTTTCCGAGAACCGTTTTTTTTTCTGCAAGAATCTTTGAACATTGACCTTGTTTATCTTCCGAAAATCTCACTGTATATTCTTATTTCACAATTTGTAGTCCAGATGTCTTTCAAAATTGCACTGAAATGAAACACGAGCCCATTTTTCCGTCCTTGAAGAAACCTACAATTCTATTTGATTCTTTTGAACATACACCTGAAGATCTAGTGTTGTTCGTTGTCGAAAATTGATGTTTTTCTTCCCCTTTCAGGAACAAATTCTGTTGTTGTTGTTATCCAAATAGTACCACAGAACCTTCACGTACGTAACAAAGGCCTGTAATTCTGTCGGCCTCGCGGCTATAATTGAATTCCACTTCCTCCTTTCAACTGTGCGCGCAGTACGAAAACACTGTACCTCTCAGGTAGCCATGTTTCTCAGGCCAATTATAAATCCCCAATTCCACGACGCACAGTCTTTCTTGTTCAAAGATAATCTTTGAACAGGAAAGGCTGTGCGTCGTTGAATTGAGGATTTTTTTCCTATCTCTCTCCCTCTCTCTCTGAGTCATTTCGGTTAGATATTTACTGGAACAGAAAATGGTAGAAGCTAAAATACACCGAAGACTATTCTACACAACTTGTCTGTTCATAATGAAAATGAAAGAAAGCTAAAATAGACCGGAGAACTACTAGTATTAGCCACAGGGGAAGATCTGGCTAACATCTTGAAAATATATTGGTCTGTTTTCACCAGTTTTTATAATTTCTTTCATTGTATAGATACTACAGAACGATGTCTAGAGTTGTCTATATTTGCGTTCAGACAAAGACTACATTCCTGCACCCATACATGGCCAGGGACGCACATTTTTGGGACATCAAAATACTCCACTTACCCAGAAAATCAGGTTGAACAGGAACAGAAGATACTTCAGACACTTCATACCACCGCTGAGCTCCCCAGACGACATTTTGACTCTTCTTTTCTCGGTCGGGATGTACAGGAAAACGCTGACTACAAACAGAGGCTTGTTCCCCAAACGCAACTGAGCTTCTCACAATTTGTACACCTCCTAGCGGGCTTTCTTTTATGTCTACTGGTATCGACCAATCGTCACGCACAGGTGAGTGTAGTCTATTGTGACGTCAGCAGGTAATTACGTGACGTAAGAAAGGCGTGACCGGGATACGTAAGTGCCAGGGTACGCCAGGTATCCTCGAGTCTCTGACTAACACAAAGGGAAGATGATTCGCAGGCTATTTTGGGGTCGCATCTCATTATTCCAGCTGAATGGACGTACATGTACCTGCCTTTAGGCTAGGGACATACCATCCTCTGTGTGGGGGAGATAGCAGGAGCACAGAATTTTTTAAAGTACGAAAGCAGTATTTGAATGGAATACTTTTTTAAAACACTAAGAGACGGGATAGATACGAATAGGCTAGGTTTTGCTTGTCGCTGTTCGAAATTCATGTTGGTTGCTCTCATGTGAGTATGACTCGAATTTCTACCATATGTTGGGTGGTTCAACCCGGAAGTTGCCAGGTAAGTTCTATTTAAATCTGTAAATACATTAACAGTCAAGCACAACATACGTGCACAAATTTATAGGCCTTTTTTCATATTCAGTCAGAGTGGCCTCGGGGTCCACTGCTAGCCTCTACCAGGCTTCGGGAGGCGGCTGGAAAGAGTAGAGATCGGTCAAATAGAGACATAACATGACGGGGGAGTTGGTCCGCCAGAGAGTACAATTTGCCGCACCCGGGAGCGGCAAACTGTTCTCTCCAGCATACCAACTCCCCCGGCATGCTATCTCTCTTTTGGGCCGATTTGTTTACTCTTTTCAGCCGCCTTCCGAAGCCTGGTAGAGGCTGCAACAACTTACAGAGGGCGTTGCTTCTTAATTCCCCTCGATCGTTAATTATTCATTGCGTGGTAAATGTAGCATATAAAATCATCAATAATACATGTGTACACATGTATGCTTTACTTCGATGAACAATAGATAAGGTGAATAGGTACAAGATCTATCAATCATATCTATTTCAAGAGTTTGTCCGCGGAGAATTGGCACGAAAGGTTAGGTGTCTAAGACACCTTAAATTAATTAAGACACTTAAAATTAAGATACAGTTGTTCGAATCGCTTTGATTACTACATTCCATGGGCATTTGAGACCAATTTTGTCAAGCTAGGTCCAATAAGAGTCACCAGACCAATGTAATGTAGAATAACGTTAACTTCAGTTTTAAGTATTACGAGGATTCTTCAGCTGTAGAAAGCACACTTGTCCGTTCCGTAACCCCGCGCATATCTTTCCATCTTTCGCTACGGCCACCGCGAGCGGTTGATGCGCGAACGTGAACCGACAAAGCTGGAAGAACTCGCCCTGCCGAACACACCAGACCCGGACCGACTTGTCCGCTGACCCGGAGACGACCAGCTGTCCACCTGGCGTCACCGCCACGCAGGTGACGTCCTGTGGGCTCCTGGGCACCTCTACATGGTACGGGCATAGTGACTCCCGCTCACTCAGCACAGATCCGCTCCTGTAGTCCCATATTATCAGTTTGTTGAGAGAATTACCAGTCACGACTGTTGTACCCGTGGTGATGGCAGAGAAGTGACACCACGTTCCGAATCCTCGGGAACAGAAGTCATGTTGAAGGGCCGACCTTTCCGCAGTGTTGAAGTTCCAGGTACCAAGATGACTGCAGCTGTAACTACACATCACGAGTTCGTCGTCATCCGCGAAGCCCACACAGTTGACGCCGTAGAAGTCAGACGTAAACTCTCTGACTAGTCTTCCAGTGTTCACCTCATACGCGCGTAGTGTGTTGTCAGCAGCGCCTGTGACGATGTGGGATCCATCTGATGTTACTGACAGATGACTGGGAGCTGGACAAGTTTCTGAGATGTGTATCGTTCTCAGTGGAGATCTTCCGCACGTAGAAGTGACATTCACGGACCATAACTTTACGGTGTGGTCCAGGGATGAGCTGAGAACAACAGGATGTTTCTCCCACGTGGTTGCCACTACCGAGGTTATATCACCTGAATGTGCTTCCCAACACTCGGCTCGTCTTGCCTCGCTGATGTCCCAGACAGACAGGAACCCCCCGGCGCTCCCCGCTACCACCCTGCCGACTCCTACACCACAGAAAGATGTTATCCTCCCCGGTGTTGCTCCGAGGATGACAGATCTATCCGTGACAGGATCGCGACTTCTGCTGCCATGCCAGAACCGAACAGCGCCCTCTGTATCTCCGGTCAGGAACGACACTTTGTCTCTATCCCGCGTGAACAGCAACGCGCTGACGTGTGTGGCACAGTCGGGACGGGCCTCTATGTCATCTTTACTGACGTACTGGACGACTTGGCTCTCCCCACAAAGACTGACGGTCGTGATGGTTCCTTCTGTTGACGCGGACAAGAGTAGCTCTTCTCTGTCATCTACTGCTAACGCTGTGATGACAGCGGTGTCAGGATGGCCGCAATAGCCCCGGGACTCCCTGCCAGTCTCGTCCCAAACACGGTACCGCCCTTCCTCTGGACAGCCGCTTACGATCTTCTTCTGACGAGGAAGTACTACAGCTGGATATGAGAGCCACCTTGCACCGGGCCCGTGAACTGTTGCAGTGGGACCTGTCGGTGTCGGGCCAACCAAACTCCACTTGCAGGTTATGTTGTCCCTCGAGCAAGCAATGATGTCATTCCCGGAAAGAGCTACAGATGTAACACCGTAACTCACGTGGCGGATCTTCTGCACAATCTCTGCTGTTTCAATGTTCCAGACAAGGACAAGGCCGTCCCACCCCCCTGAAGCAGCAAGCTTGGAGTCTCTAGAAATTGTCACCGTTTGGACCGTACCCTCGTGGCAAGTGAGGACACACTTCTGGGTAAGACAGAAGGTTCCAGGGCGATCTGGCTGGAGCTGTAGGGACCAAACTTTCACCTGACGATCCTTGGAGCCAGAAACAAACGTGTCTCCGTCCTGAGTCACCGCCACTGCGCGAATGGACCTGGTGTGGGCACCTGGACGTACGGCAATGAGTTCCCCTGTCTTAGCGTTCCATGCTCTCAGTTCGCCGCTCCGGGACCCCGACACAGCTCGCCTCCCATCCTCAGTAATGGCTACTGCGTAGGCAGCGATCTCATGTCCTGGCAACTGGTCTACTTCCTGTAAGGTTCCCTCCATTCGCCATAGTCTACAAGTGGTGTCCAGAGACCCAGAGAGCAACAGTGCACCTCGCACCGACTTCACAACACTGACGCTCCGAATGCTGTCGCTGTGTCCTCTGTACACACACTTCTGCTTCCCTTCTCTAAGACTCCAAATCCTGATGGTAACATCGTCCATCCCTCCTCCTGACACGATGGTGGTATTGTCCGGCGTCAGGGCGACAGAGTACACGGAGTTTGTATGGCCGTGCAGTTTATGTATCAGCTCACGGCTGTGCGTGTTCCACACTCCAACTGTTCGATCACCAGAGGCCGATACCAGGTACTTGTCGTCGCTTGTTATTGCGATGCTGTATACAGTGCTCTTGTGCCCTGCTAAGCTGGACGAGCTCAAGTTGCGCGTGTTCCATATCCTGATCGTGCTGTCAATGGAACCAGACGCCACGTTGCTGCTGTGGTGGAAGGCGCACAAAGCTCTCACCTGTCCAGTGTGACCTGTCAACAATTCTGACGTGGACGCGGAGGCGAGGTGCCAAACTCTGATTGTTTTGTCACTCGATCCTGAAACGACCCTTTCCCCGTCATCGATGAACGTAACAGCATTGACTTTGTCTGTATGAGATTTCAAAGTCCAGAGGAGTTCGAACCTATCAGCGTCCCAGATTTTGACGGTCGTGTCGTAAGAAGCTGAGGCCAGACGCCAGTCATCTTTAGACAGCGCTAGGGCGTACACGTGGCTGCTATGTCCCCGCAGTGTGCAGAGATCCCTCTGTGACTCCAGCTCCCATGCCCTGATGGTGGAGTCACCGGATCCGGTGAAAACTCGCTTGGGGTTGTCAGAGGTGACGGCAATGCACAGAACAGCGTCCGTGTGTCTGTCGTATGTCTTCACAATGTCTTCACAATTGTACACGAATTTCTCTGCTTCGGACGGTGCCAGCGGTTTCACCTCGTAACGATCATCATTATGTACACCGAGATTCTCCAGTAGATCCTTGTTTCTCGTGATAACCAGTACCTGGCACATACCCGAGACGGCGTCAGTGATGACCTGGGCGTCTTGCAAGCTCCAAACGTCGTCCAGGACAATGAGATGATCTTTGTCTTGTGTTTCCTGATAAAGATCGCTCACTGCGTCGCTCACTGCGATGAAGGACCTGAGTGTGTTGGACATGTCACTGGCGAGGGCGGCGAGATTCTCCAGAACGCGTGGCTGTTGTTCCCCCATGGTAACCCAGAAAACCTGTAGGGCAGAGGAAGAATTTGTATATTCGACTCTTTGTTTGTGTCGCAAAACTGGTGAAATACCGTACAGTGAAACACGCCAGTTCTGCACCTTGAATGAGTATGTATTGAGATCGGCCGGATCCACACATTGCTAGTAACCTTTCGTTTTAACGTGGCAATTGTTACAGAGATATTATATAAAATATATGTCAATATAGTCAGTCAGTCAGTCACGAAGATTGTTTTTTTTTTTTTTTTTTTGCATCTCTGTTCTTTATTGAATATCGAATACATATGTACATAGAATGTAATAAATTGTTACATCAGATTCCTCAATTTCTGTCTGTTTGTACAATCTTTAACTTAACTATCCTGACAAATTGTCTAATACCTTTATATATATTTCAGAATGGTATACAACCAAATGTTTCCCAAAACACGGAAATAAATGCCGTCAAAGGGACATATTTTCCACTTCACATTCTACTGAATACTATTGTACTGGACACCTTTCTCAGCAATTCAGATAATTTTTAAACGACAAATACATATCAATTAAACGTAAAGTCAGCTGCATAGAGAGCCCCACTTCCCGCGGTGCTTCTCCAGTTTACCTTTCTTTAATGCTATGGAATATTCTACAGTTTGAAAGAATTTAATATAACGAAGAAAGGAATCAAAGTTTAAAGAACTAGTTTTTCTACATCTAAATATATATATTTTGGCAAGTAGGGTTATAAGATTTTCAATTGGGGGGGTTCCAAAGTGTAAATTTCCAAAATAACATTGAATCCATTTAAGAATAAATCTTTAGTTGTTTTATAGTGATACCAAGTTTTAATTTGGTCCCAAAAAGAGATAACGTTTGGACATTCCCAGAAGACATGCAGGTATGTTTCTTCCTCTTCATGGCAGAACGAGCACAAAGGGGTCTCTATACATTTCCAAATATATAGTAGTTTGTTTGTAGGTAGAAATTTATGTAAAATTTTATATTGGAAAAACCTAGTGGAAGAATCGATAGTACAATGTATTATAGATATATAAACCTGTTTCCAGGGAATAGGGGTGTCAAAGAGGCACAGCCACTTTAGTTGTACATTATATGAAATATCAATCAAATTATGATGTAACAAGAAAAAATTAGTACACATCCTTATTAATCTTAACCTGTTTTAACCTAAAAAGCTGTTTCGCTGCATTGGTTTACAGACAAAATCTGGCGCATTACCACATAAGATAGATTTCCATTCTTGCGGAATGGCCGAAATCAGCTGCATATATCTAAAATGATCACAAATATTACCATATTTTATAGAAAATTCTTTAAATGTCATTAAAGTACCTAACTCATTTAATATATCATTTACAAAAACAATATTCCTATTTATGAATGTGCTCATAGAGACAGGTGCTCCATCAATAAGAATATTGTTGTTCATGAATAAAAGTTGTTGTTTAACATCTGCAGCACATGTGGGGGCCTTATATTGATATTTAAACCATGCATCTAATATATCTGATAAGAAGGGGCTTAGTTTAAAATAGTGTATAGAACTTAATTGAAAGAAGGGGAATAGCCTAGATCCCAACAAAGGATGCATTCTAATTAGCCAAGTAGTTGACCAATTTTCATTAAAATAAAGTTTTGGTATCCATGAGGCCTTAATAGTACAGGAAAAAGCATACAAATTTTTGAGATTTAAACCACCATTTTCCACGGAATTGTATATTGTTTTCCTACTAACTCTCTCAGGTCCTCCATTCCAGATGAATGAAAAAACTTTCCTCTCATATTGTTAGAAAAAATGACTTGTCTGGGTTTTGGAGAACCTGAAAGAGGTATGTAAATTGCGAGGTAATCAATGAGTTGATAATTGTTACTTTCCCAAATAAAGATAATCCCTTTACTCTCCAAGGGTATAGAAGTCTATCTAATTTAGCTAATCGGGGTTCAAAATTTAATTTAACAATGGTACCTAAGTCCTGTGGGATATGAATACCTAAGATTTCAACATTACCATCAACCCACTGAAGGGGGAAGTGGGTAGGTAATCTAAAATTAGTATTTTCAATGTTCCAATTCTAAGAATTTTACACTTTTCGAAATTCAAGGAGAGACCAGAAATACAAGAAAATTTATCTAAATCATCTAAAAGGGCATAAAATGACGCTAATGTAGGGGCAAAGGGAAAATCCGTATCATCAGCATATTGTGAAATTTTGGTTGACCTTCCAAAAACGGAGAGGCCAATCAAATCATTATTACCACGTACTTTAATAGCTAACATTTCTACTGCAATAATAAAAAGGTAGGGACTAAGGGGACAGCCTTGTCTAACTCCACGATATAATTGGAATGGGTCAGATATATATCCATTGTTTAAAACTGAACTTGTAATGTTATTGTATAAAACTTTTACCCAAGATAAAAACTGGGGTCCGAAATTAAAGAAACGTAATGATTCGAAAATGAAATCCCATCTTAAGGTATCGAAGGCCTTTTTATAATCAGCAATAAAAATAAGTCCTGGTTTCTTTTCGTTTTCGTAATATTCAAGCAAATCTAATATTCTCCTAACATTTTCACCAATAAATCTCCCCTGAATAAAACCGGTTTGATCTTTGTCAATAATTTTTGAAATAACGGATCTTACCCTTAGGGCAAGACATTTTGAAAGAATTCGGGCATCACAACATAATAACGTTAATGGTCTCCAATTATCTAATAATGTTGGGTCCTTATCTTGGCCATTACCCCCTGTTTCAATAATAAAGAAATAATACCATGCCTTTGTGTGTTGGGAGGAAACCTTGAGTCAAAGAATAATTAAAACACTCTAACATAGGGGCTTTAAAGACTGAGAGAAAACTGTTTGTACACTTCTACAGGAATGCCATCCAGTCCAGGTGACTTTCCATTTGAGAAGGAGTTGATAGCATTAAGTAGTTCATCTTCTGTGATAAGGCCCTCACACGCCTGCATCTGCTGCTCTGATAGTCTCTTATCATAATCTTCAGGAAAAAATCTTGCAAATCTTCCGGGGTAAGGGGTGCTGGGGGGTCTTTGAAAGAGTATAAGGAGGAATAAAAGTCAGTTTGTTTTTCTAGAATTTCAGTAGGATTACACGTAAAAGCGTTTTCGGAAAGTCGTAATTTTTGAATGTTTTTTCGAGTGTAATTTCTATGTATTAAGTTCAAAAATACTTCGTACACTTATCCCCCAACTCCATCCATTTTGCTCTTGATATTGTTACGAGTCCCCGTAAACGATAATGGTATAATAATTCTAATTCTTTTTGTTTTGATCAAGATCATCAAGGACTGAGTCTGAGGGAGAAGGTGTGTTGTCAAGCTGGATTTCAAGAGTTTTTATTTCATCGATTAATTTCTTTTCTTTAGACAAATGTTGCTTATTTTTCCAGCTTGAAAATTTAATGCAATGGCCCCGAAAGAAACACTTGGCCGTTTCCCACACTACATGGGGATTTGCAGTACCACAGTTTATACGAAAAAATTCTCTCATCGCCTCTATGGTTTTGGTATGAAATGTCTTGTCTTCTAATAAAGATGAATTGAACTTCCAGTATCCCTTCCACCTTGGAAAATCTGTAGTGACAAGTGATAAAGTAATTAATCTATGATCCGATCTAAAACTGTCAGCAATAGTGCATTTGTTAACCCTATTTGTCAATGAAAATGTAACAAGGAAATAATCTATTCTACTTGCTTGGCGCCTACGACGCCAGGTGTATCTAACTAAGTCTGGATTTCTAAACCGCCATATGTCATATAGGTCAAATTTACACTTTAATTCAGAAATAGCTTCATATGCTTTAGGATGGTAGGTGGAGTTTGTAGATAATCTATCGATTAAGGGGTTTTGAACCGTGTTAAAATCACCAGTAATAATGAGATTCGCATTTGACTCAGGAAAATTATCTAATTCTTCAGATATATTAAAGAAAAACTCAGAAGAATCTACATTTGGTGCATATATATTAACAATACAGAATCTATATTCATCAAGAGATAGACCTACAATGATCCACCTTCCATCTTTGTCAAATTTAGTTCGATAAATATAAGGGTCAATATTATTGCGAAACAAAATGGCTGTGCCTCTTTGATTGGAGGTACCATGTGAAAACAACATGGATCCTCCCCACTCGTTCTGCCATCTTTTTTCATCAGCTAAGGTTGAGTGTGTTTCCTGCAAACATATTATATCAAACTGTTTGTCCTTCAACCAAGTAAATACTTCCCTCCGTTTGATAGAATTGCCTAGGCCATTACAATTGTAACTAGATATCCCTACCTCCACCTGGGTCATGGCATCTGAAGAATGTCCGGAATGCTGGGAAGGACCGGGGAATGGGGCGCAGCGAAATCATAATGACAGGTGAGGTGATGTAAACAAACAAAAACTGAACAGAAATCAACAGAACAGAGATGCAATAAATCTGGATGGTATACAAAACAAAACAAAGTAACACAAAGTAATGAGGTCAGGATTTGGCTAACCCTGAACATCTCGTAATCCGGCTGCATCGCACAGTAACTGGCTCCTGCATTCTATCGACTACTTTTTACAGATATTCCACTGAGCACTTTGATCATTCACTCACAGATAAATCATCAAATTAAATCAATAGCAAATGATACAACATAGGAAGAATCAATGAAATAATCAACAGGGTGCGCCTTGTAACTCAATCAAAATAAAGATAATCCATAATAACACAAACAAAATCGACTCGAGGGCAAGCCCTGGAAACAAATACCAATCAGAGCGCAAGAATAACATAAATGATAAATAACTTAGGAGGGTGAGAAAACAAGATGTGTTGCATTCAGTCACTCAATTCTCTCCCTGAAAAAACAGTTCAGAAACAGTGTGTACTCGGAAAGTGAACGTTTTTATTCAAAGCTCACAGGTTTTCCTTGGCTATCACGCCATAGGCCGTTGAAGAAACGATACTTGTTACCATGTTCATATGCTTCTTTCACTTTGTCTCTCCACTTACGCTTCTCTTGTAAGTCCGCGGCAGTTAAGTCATCCGTGAGGTAATAGTTCTCTGTCTTCAGCTGTTCACGCGACGCTTTCATGAGGTGCATCTTGTCCTGGTAGCAGTTCACTTTGAAAAGGATGTGTTGTGGTGTCTTGTCTCCGCCATGTTTGTTGGGGGGGGCCGTCGGGATGAGCGCGCTCAATCTTGATGTCCGTCCGCCCGAATTTCTCCCGCAGGATCTTCTGTACCGTGATTAAACAGTTCTCTCCCCTCTCCACCTTCCTTCCGATGATCCTGATGTTATTCCGGCGAGAGAACCGTTCGAGTTTGTTGCACTTACGCTGTAAGTCAGCAATCTCCTCAGTCGCCGATTTCACCCGCTCAGAACCCTCGGTAGTCTGGCGCTCCACCTCGCGTAGTTTCGTCTCCAACTCGCGCGATTTTTCTTCATTTCTTTCCAAACGGGACTCGAGCATCTCCACATTCTTCTCCAAGTTTTCCTCTAGTGCCCGTACTTCGCTACGTAGTGCCTTCTGACCATCCAGCAGTAGTTTAAACTGGTCCCGAACAAAAGATTCAAATTCTGCACCTGGGTCCGTGTCGTCGCCATGCTCCGACGCCGTTCCTCGCTTCTTCCGTGTGTTCATTTTCGGCAGTTTTCACTCAAACAAAGTACTGATCGAACACAAAGGCACTTAATAACTATACAAACAACTTTAGGAAGCACGGGGACCCTGATAAATTCACGAGGAGTTGTTCTGTCGAAAAATATTATCCAATCTGCAGGAGCTCACAGAAAACACTCACACCGGTGCCGCCATCTTGGATCAGTCTGTGATCAGTCACGAAGATGTTGTCAAGCAGGACTGAGTATCTGATACACACTCCAGTACTGTACAAGTGTTCTCTTGTGATCTTGTGTTTTTTGTTTGTTTGTTTGTTTGTTTGTTTCGCATAGCCGCCCTTTTTAAGGCGGAACACACCAGTCTTGTGAGTTCAAGCTGCGTAAGACCGGACTATAAGGTTTGAACCACACCGGGAAGGACCCCTACTCTTTTCGATAAGGGGCGTGGGGCGTGGCTCTCTCAAACACCTCCATTTAACGTCCTATCCGAGGGACGTCCCTAACCGAACCTAGGTACTCATGTACACCTGAGTGAAGTGAGGAAAGTCGTGTAAAATGCATTTCCCAAGGGCACAAGATCGGCGGCATCGGGTAGGATTCGAACCCGGGACCTCTTGGGTCTGAGCCGAACACTCTACCGTTTCGCCACACGACCCCACTGTTTTGACTGCTGTTCCTACCTTTCTATCCTCTTGTAGTTCCCGGGCCACCATCAGTGCTAGAACCGTCTTACCGGCTCCTCCCATTCCCCAGATCCCCACGACGTTGTCTCCAATATGGCGGATAGACGACGCCCTCGACAGCTCTCTTGCAGAGGTAGAAATGAGCTTTGTTACTTGGGCGATAGCGGCATCCCTGATGAAACACCTGGAGGGAAGCTTTGGAGGACGCATCCTCGGCACTGTGTGATGACCTGGGCCTGCGGCTGTAATATATAGACGTCAAGAAGGTTCGTTATTATTAATAAATGATGTACAAAAGAAAAACTCTGTAACTTCTTCTACAAATTTCTCAAGAAGAGAAAAGTTTAGATGTAGATAAAACATAGCATAGTCTTCCTGTCCTATTCCTTATGTATAACTAACGTACAGCATTGAGCCACACTGGGGCATGAATATACAATAAACTGGTTTTGATTCATACTGCAGTTAGGTGCCGCTGATGCAATATTGCAAATGCGGTCCCAAACGTATTTGGTATAAATGCAATAGTGCAGCAGCAAAACCTGACTGAAAAAAAACAACAATTACAAACGGTATTTTGTTCAAGAGAAGGAGGAATTGAGAATGATAGAAGTTTGACAGTACAGGATACATTAAAAATGTCCATGCTCGTACAAGTACCTTTACAAGGCTGGGGACCGGTTGCAGCTATGAGTCTAGGCCAGAATTGTCCATCCTGTCGTAAGTGGAGACATAACCGGCCCTGTAGAGCAGCGGGTAGAGTACAACCCTCCTCCAGCAGAACCGTGATCAGTCTCCTCTCGGAGGCGAGGGCCAGCTCCAACTCCCGCTGACACAACCCGCTCTGCAAGTAGCCTCTCGACAACACGAGAACGACGTTGGTACAGACGTCCAACCACTCGCAGAAGGACCGGAGCTGAGATATCCCGGCATCGTAGTCCCTGTCTTTGATCTTCACCAGTGTCTTTTCTTGTTCTTCCAGACGCCGCGTGAGCTCTGCGACCACCCACTGTTTGGCATCATCACAGTAGGACACCAGGGTGGTGGGAGCGATGCCATCTGCGAAACACAGACAGGAAATGCTTTTAAAACTAGAAAGGCCGACATTTGCTTGCTGGGAGCAAATACAGCATATTTCAGTCCATCTCCCTCCCACGCAATAGTGGACTATTCCAAACTTACCCCAGTGCAAAACTGGCAAAGGTTCTCAAATAAATGAATTAAATAGTAGCTATATGAGAACAAAGATGCAAGAACAAGCACTTTGAATCTCGAGAGCTTTACTAATCTTATTACAGGTATGCAAATAATAACAATGATGAAATTTGATACTAGTAGCTGCTTGGGTGGCGTGAGTGTAATGACGATGTTTGGATGAAATAATTGGTCACCTTGGTGACTTGAATTGGACTAAATTGTGGCGTGCCATTCGAAATCAATAAAACTGAATTGATCAGCAAAACAAGTAGTCCTAAAGGTAAAGATTTATGCAACTATGACGTACTGTAAAGGACCTTTGCTCATGGCAGTGCCTCATTCCTTATAAAAATGAAGGTGACCGCCTTTTAGCCTGATTACAAAAAGCGCTCCTAGCGGCAAGCCCCCGAACGACAGCCAGCGAAAGCGTGTCACAGTAATAAAACACAGGCTATCCGCCTTTGGGTCGGTCTGATACTTCGCATCATTCTTGTATCCAAGAAGGTTGCTGTATCACATTTATGGACAATAAAATGTGCGAAGCTAGTGCACGTAGATATTTGTACGTACAAACATTCCAATATTAGGAAGTACCATTGCATTGAACGTACTTTGCTCCTGCATGCGATAAAATGGGCCATCACTCACCAAATACCATAGATACTATAAACACTTTAATGAATGAAAATACCTTTCGCGCTTTTTATACAGTTATTTTAGCCAGCAGAAGACGGCTGTGAATGCATACTATGGCCTATCCTCATTAGCATAATAACAGTATTTTTTTTTGTCCCTGCAGCTGACCTTAATGGTTCAATGTCTTGAGTAAATATTTACTGTTTACATTACACAACCGTACGATAATAGTGTACGCAGCGTTCGAGTCTAAAAAACTACCCGGATTGTCAAAAAACAAGCGGGTGATGTGGGAATTAAAGTCTTTTTCATGTACTGTTTCTTGCCAGGAACACATTTTTTATCAAATATATATGAGGATGGATTTGGCCTTTTTATGAGTGTATGATTGTTAAGATCTTGAATGCATACATGGATAACAGCGATAAGTACCAAATGTTAGAGCTAGCCTAAAATTGTTACTCACGTACACCCTTGAATATCCTACTGCCATAACGACTTTCCACATTATTCCCCTGACATCTTATTAACACATGAAATCTATCTCTGTCAGTGGACTAGAGTTTGGACACTGAGTGCCATACTCTTCCCAGAATAATTTCAACCACAGTGTGTTTGTGGGGAGGGGGGCATCGGGGTCGAAGAACATTGACTCAGATTTGGTGACACCAAAATTGACCTCAGTTTGTGAACACACAACTAATGTTATCAATTGATGTTACAGTTTAATCTCTGTTTCTATTTATCAGCCAAGTCACATATAGTCGCGTATATGAAGAGATCTCCAATGCAACGTTCACAGTTACTGAACACATCTAAACCCCACGTTGGGTGTGCTGCATTAAAAATCTCTCAAACACGTTGTTTTGTTTTTCAAAATGGCGAATATGACGTTATGTGACCCAGCGGATGAACGGTAATGGAGGTTATGTTTTCAAGATAGAAAGAGTGTCAATATTATTTACCAATCACAACTCGAGCTTAACGCGCCATGTTGTAATATGATAGCCTCGGCTAATAAAACACAGAGAACGTTAACAGAGAATTACCGCGAACACCTGAAAACTTGGTCACTTCAGACGAAGACATCACCCTTCTCACCTTGTGAATCCATGTGGTACACCCCAGAGACCTGTAGTTCTGCATAAAAGCCAATACACTTCTAAGAAGCGCCTTCAATGAAGGGTTAATTTGCAAAGGTCCAAAGGTCACAACAGGGTCAATACCTACTCAATACCATGTTTACCATGTAGCTAGCAGAATGTGTTGACTTAAAGTTTTCGTTAGGTTCGCGCAGGTGCAGTACGTTCTGCCGACGTCCTACGCTCAACCAACCAATCGGAGTTTACGCATGTGTGACGTCCCCCACCGAGATTCTTTCCAACTACTCTTCTACTCTTCTCAGTGAAAGGAGTTGGATAATTCTGGGCTAGACTGGTCGCATCGTCCTTGGCTCGACGGAAAGCTGTCTACGGTGAGAAATTCAAGGGTTTGGCGGGAAAATATTCTCGCAATGAGCTCGGAGAAGCTGCTTAGCGCAGGTGAAGTTGTCGGCCGGGCCCGCCGAGACCGTCCGGGCGCTGCACGACCAGTGGCGGTGGCGGTGGCGGCCGGGGCGGGGGTTCTGGTCGTGGCTGCCCTCGTCTTCCTCGCTCACGAGGTTACGCATGTCCGAGAGAAGTCCAGCCAAGAAGTGTCTCAGCTGAAAGACCAGATCTTGACGCTGAAGGAGCGTGCCTTAACAATGGAGCTGAAGCAAGACGCCAGCGCGGCTAGACACAACGAGGAAGCGTCCTCTCACCAGGAGGAAGTAACGGCCCTGAAAATCCACCTGTCGTCCCTGCAGACTCAACTGGACAACGAAAAGGCTGACGGAGCGTCCTTGAGAGAGCGGCTGGCTGTGCTGGAAACCAAGTTCCAACTCAAACACGCCGAGGACCAAAATTTTGGAAACTTTCAAGAGGTAAGTGATTTCCCCCAGTCTAATTGATATGTTACTTTAACGAGGAAGTAAAACACGAAATTTAATGCAGTGAAGCGTGAATAGGTTCCTTTTTAGTCTAGAGCCAGCGGCTACAAAGCTAGCGGCTATAACAAAAACATTTATTAACTAGAATTCCGAGATCTCATACCTCCATGAAATATGATCTTGATATGTAAATGTAAATTTCTTCTTTAATTGTGCAAATGACCTCTGCATTAACATGATATATGCATCGTGATGTATGTTAACTTTTGATTAACTTACAGATGTCCCAAGTATGAAATTCTCATCATTCACCATTACATCATAGAATTTTCGCATTAGTTATGCAAATTAGGTCATCATTTGCATAATTAGTATCTGTTGAAGTTCCACCTGCCATAGGTTACATACATTACATGTATGTAAGTAGTATAATGTAAAACACTGTAATTATAGAATTTCCTCATTAATTATGCAAATTAAGTCCTCATTTGCATAATTTGCATTTAATTATGTACATCTCTCTCTCAGCTACCTACACACCAAAAATAATGAAAATATGTTGTTCCTGTCTGGACTTATTGGCTTTTAAACATTTCGCCAGAAAGTGCCCTGCAGTTCCAGAACAAGCCGCTAGGGGGCCCAAACTCATATGACTTCTTCCCAAGCACGAGAGCTACCTTCCATCAAAATTTCATGACCCTAGCATGTCCAGATCGCGAGATATCAAAACCGGAAGTTGCGCTGCAGTACCAAGGGAAGCCACTAGGGGGACCAAAATCTAATCATTTCTAGTTTTTGTCACACCCTACCAACACACCAAGTATGAAACCAATCCATCCAGGCGTTCTTGAGTTATTTTGTTGACCAACAGACGGACGGACAGACGGACAGACGGACGGACGGACAGATAAACGCAACTGAAAATATAACCTCCATGACACATTTCATGGAGGTAAAAATCTGGACATTGGGCAACTAGAAAGTCTAAATAAACTTGAATTTATTTCTAAAGGGCGCTGGGAAGCCGAACCAAGTTGGCAGTGTTCCTGAACACAACGCCACCTTGCGGAGGTATAGGCGATCTCCCAACTCGGTCACAACACCCTACGGTAGATACCGTTAAATTTGTTTTTGTTCGCGGAGGATAAATTTCGCGTTTGGAGAGGACAGGAGATTTTTGCGGTGTTTTAAGTTCTTGGTTGAAACAATACTTAAGCATGGCAGCATGGTAGTACATTTACAGTGCCTTTACTCTTGGATACAATGTGCCTCTTATTTTAGGCATTTCACAAGTCATGGACAAACTTGTACACATTTGTGTCAGTTTACCGCTATTGATGCATGTCTTCCACTACTGTCTTGTCTAATTTGAAATGCAGAAGGACGGCGCGGTTCTTGTTTTGTAGAGAAACAGTAGAGAACAAGGATCAAATAGCTTGTTTATCAAGACTCTCCTGATACGTATCTAACTGAGTGAAGCAAGTGCAAGTGCATGTGTAACTTCATCTGGGTTTACTAGTAAACAAACGTCCGTGCCAGGTGTGCACCCACTGCTACCCATCGCAGCCGCGGTGTAAACAACCATGCAGCCTTGTCATACCATTCGTATGACGTTAGAAATGTGTCTCGTGATGTTAAATACTATACAAAGTAGATTGGAACTTGGCAATATTCAGAATTTTGACCGATATTTTGTGATGTTTAATACGTTTTGCCCCGGCCCTGAGTGTTTGCGCTTATTTGTCACGATTTTTGTCACGATTTCATCTCTGTCCGAGCTTGTAATGATATAAACCATAATCCTCACTGTCCCCGTCCCAGGTGCCTTTCGTGGTCCTGAAGGCCCGGCCGGGCGAGACGGGCGGGATGGTGTTGCCGGGCCGCCCGGTCCTCCCGGGCCGCCTGGGGGATGTGGAAGGTGTGAAGAGACGTCTTGCAAACAGGTAGGGCTTTATTGCGCTTACAAGCTGTTCAAAGAGAACTTTTTTTTAGACACCCGTAATCTCATGTATGTATAAACTGGCCTTATATACATACAAAGTCTTTCTGAGTAGCCACGACTACATCAATGAATACATGTAACGTTACATGTATACCACATCATGTAGCAGACGTGCACTGCAGTACCACTAGGCATGGAGAGTGGCGCTATTCCTGATGACCACATCACTGCATCCAGTACGCACCCAGGTTGTGGCACCAACAAAGCTCGCCTTCATTCCCAGGAGGACAGTGATAGAAGCCAGAATGGATGGGCCGGAGCTTGGTGTGCCAACAGCCCACTGAACACGAATCAGTGGCTTCAGGTGAGGGGATACTGGGCTGTGTAACTTCATTTCTATTGTCCCTGCCGATTACTAGTGTAGTGTAGTGTAGTGTAGTGTAGTGTAGTGTAGTGTAGACTGTAGTGTGGTGAAATACATATCCATCTACGAATGCACCATATTACAAAACACATAATCATATTTGTCCTTGTTTAAGTAGTAAACTTGGTTCTTTCCATCTACTACTAGTACTAGTATATCAAATCATGCTTCTTCCCAGCTTAGTGTTGTCACAGTACATCTTCTGATCTATTTTCATTATTTTCAATTTAAGGTCATTTTCAGTAACAAATTTGTTTCATTGTTGATCAAAATAGGATATATTGAAAGATAAAAAGTCAAGTACCTGTACAAAATGTATCAGCATTGACATACTTGATTGATCTTTGACCAATCATACTAAGTCAATATTGAAAACGACATGTATGTTTTAATCAGCTGTCTTTTCTCCCGATCTCTGTTCAGGTTGATGTGGGGGCAGTGACAACTGTAGCTGGAGTCATCACCCAGGGAAGGTCCAGTGTCATCAATAATCTACAACGGGTTACATCCTACAAACTACGCTTCAGCAGGGACGGAAGCACCTGGTCCACATACCTGGACAAACTGGGACGTGAAAGGGTTAGTAATTCTTGCGTTTTGCTCAAGTCTTTTCAGAATTTAGACAAACTTTTCTCTCGTAATTGTAGGTATTACATCCTGTAGTCATATGACTTATACAACTGTTCTACTTTAGCGTTAGAATTACTAGTATGACTGAATTACATTGTGTTTCCATAAAAAGTTGATTTTATTTTGCCATCAGTTTCCATGTAGCATTACTCAGGTAGCTTGTTCATTGCGTTCATTGATTTATTCACGTTACTACCTAAGGTCTTCTCTGGCAACTCTGATCGGGACACCGAAGTGCGCCACCTGTTGGATCCGCCAGTAACTGCACGTTACGTTCGGTTCTGGCCGCAGACATGGAATGTTCACATCAGCATGCGTGTGGAGGTCTTGGGACAGTAAGTACACAGCTGAAAACTTCTTTGAATTCTGCATATTAAAGATTGGACAATGTGGTTTTGGAATGATGTAACACCCCAGTAAAGGATTTGAAAGATTTTCACTCCACATTTACTGATTTACAACAACAAAGTATTTGTTCTTCTCCTCTGTAGGGACTGCACCAGTGACTAGACACAGCGTGAAGACTTGCAGCTGTACAATATCTGCTCTACAGTTTGAAGTTTCGTAATTTTACTCATTTTAAATACATTGGTGTTTTGTTTTCTCACCTTTGATCTCACCTCAGATCTCCAATCAATGTTTTCAAGTTCCATTAGATTGTGTGGAAGCAAATGCTAAGCTTGGAAAGTGGTGTGTACCAAAACATATACTTGAATTTTTACATTTTTCATGGTAAGTTTTTACATCACAAAATGTTGATATTTGTTTACGGGATTGAGTGAAGTGTGTGTACATGTGTACAATGGCTACTTTATTTGTGCAGAACGTAGCAGGCATTTATGGTAAAAAATAAAGCATACTACTCCACATATAGACTCTTTTATTGCAACACTTTCTGTACAGCTGAAGCTTTAGATAAATTTATTGTTTATTTACATCATATCATACACGATAAAGGAAATGACACAATCCACCTTGACCAAACCTTACTCCTCACAATGTGCTCACAGCTGCATGTACAAGCATGTATTGTGGTGAACGACTGTAATACTGTCCGCTATAAACATGTCAGTGACAGAGATGACACTCAATTTTCTTAAGGAAATGGCAACTATCAATTTAGTTCTCATCTGGAATTGATATAAAATGTGGTGCCCAGTATATTGTTAAAGACGCCTTTCGTTTTGTAAGGACAATGTGACATCATCGAATCCTGAGCACACTATTCATCCCAGAGCCTGAATAAATGTGCACAGAAAACAGTGACATCACTTTGCCTATGAAATACATGCAGCAAAATCCGAGCCTTCAACGAAGTGTTGCAAGTCCAAAGGTCACAACAGGGTCAAAACCTACTCAATACCATGTTTACTATGTTTACTATGGTAGATAGCAAGATGTTAACGTTTACGTTACACAGCACGTCGGCAGGTGCAGTACGTTCTGCCAACGTGCTGGTATACGTTACACCAACCAACCAATCAGAGTTTATGCATTTATTGATGTCATATGCAAATGTATATAACTTAGATGTTCTGACCAATGACATTGAACCACCGAGATTCTTCGATACGTGTACTCTTCTCAGTGAGTGGTGTCGCGGACGACACTGTCGCACTGTCCTCGGTCGACGTCGGCGGAGAGTTGTTAACAGTGGGGAATTTGAGGGTTTTGTGGTAAAACAAAATCTCGAGATCGTCATACTCTAGTTAATTCTCACAATGAGCTCGGAGAAGCTGCTTAGCGCAGGCGAAGTTGTCGGCCGGGCCCGCCGAGACCGTCCGGGCGCTGCACGGCCAGTGGCGGTGGCGGTGGCGGCCGGGGCGGGGGTGCTGGTCGTGGCTGCCCTCGTCTTTCTCGCTCACGAAGTTAAGCATGTTCGAGAGAAGTCCAGCCAAGAAGTGTCCCAGCTGAAAGACCAGATCTTGACGCTGAAGGAGCGTGCCTTAACCATGGAGCTGAAGCAAGACGCCGCCGCCAGACACAACGAGGAAGCGTCCTCTCACCAGGAGGAAGTAACGGCCATGAAAATCCACCTGTCCTCCCTGCAGACTCAACTGGACAACGAAAAGGCTGACGGGGCGTCTTTGAGGGAGCGGCTGGCTGTGCTGGAAACCAAGTTCCAACTCAAACACGCCGAGGATCAAAAGTTTGGAAACTTTCAAGAGGTAATTGTGTTCCCACAGTCTAAGCAATATCTTGCTTTAACGAGGAAGTAAAACACGATATTTAATGCAGTGAAGCGTGAATAGGTTCCTTTTTAGTCTAGAGCCAACGGCTACAACGCTACCGGCTATAACAAAAACATTTATTAAAACTCTGGACATTGGGCAACTAGAAAGTCTAAATAAACTTTAATTTATTTCTAAAGGGCGCTGGGAAGCCGAACCAAGTTGGCAGTGTTCCTGAACACAACGCCACCTTGCGGAGGTACAGGCGATCTCCCAACTCGGTCACAACACCCTACGGTAGATACCGTTAAATTCGTTTTTGTTCGCGGAGGATAAATTTCGCGTTTAGAGAGGACAGGAGATTTTTGCGGTGTTTTAAGTTCTTGGTTGAAACAATACTTAAACATGGCAGCATGGTAGTACATTTACAGTGCCTTTACTCTTGGATACAATGTGCCTCTTATTTTAGGCATTACACAAGTCATGGACAAACTTGTACACATTTGTGTCAGTTTACCGCTATTGATGCATGTCTTCCACTACTGTCTTGTCTAATTTGAAATGCAGAAGCACGGCGCGGTTCTTGTTGTGAAGAAAGATCAAATAGCTTGTTTATTAAGACAAGACTATCCAGATATGTAGTGAAGCAAGTGTATGATTGTGTAACTTCATCTGGGTTTACTAGTAAACAAACGTCCATGCCAGGTGTGCATGCACTGCTACCCATCGCAGTCGGTATAAACAACCATGCAGCATCCTTGCCATGGGTTTACCATATGACGTTAAAAATGTGTTTCGTGATGTAAAATACTATACAAAGTAGTTTGGAACTTGGCAAGATTAAGAATTTTGACAGATATTTTGTGATGTTTAATACGTTTTCCCCGGCCTTCGGTGTTTGCGCTTATTTGTCACGATTTCTGTCACGCTTTTATCTCTGTCCGAGCTTGTAATAATATCATAATCATACCATAATCCTCACTGTCCCCGTCCCAGGTGCCTTTCGTGGTCCTGAAGGCCCGGCCGGGCGAGACGGGCGGGACGGGCGGGATGGTGTTGCCGGGCCGCCCGGTCCTCCCGGGCCGCCTGGGGGGTGTGGAAGGTGTGAAGAGACGTCTTGCAAACAGGTAGGACTTTCTTGTGCTTACAAGCAGTTCTCGGCTTGAGCCTTTACTGATCAAAATATGTGGCGAAAGCACAGGGACACACACGCACACACACACACACACACACACACACACGCAAACGCACACACACATACACATATGCGCACACACACACACACACACAAACACACACACGTGTACACACACAGACAGTCACACACACACACACACACACACACACACAGACATACACATATGCACACACACAGACACATACGCACACGCACACACACAGTCACACACACACACACACACACACACATGTACATATACGCGCGCGCACACACACACACACACACACACACATACGCATACACACACAGAGACAGTCACAGTCACACAGTCACAGTCACACACACACACACACACACACACACACACACACACACACACACACACACACACACACACACACACACACACACACACACACACACACATACACACATGCAGATCCGGAGAGACAGTTTCACCAAACCAATACCTCCATTTTGATGTAGGTGTTACATACATGTAATTTTAGATGACTTCATGTTGTACCGCATTTACCATCAATGACTATGTATGTCGCATCCTGTAGCGGCCATGCACTGCAGTACCACTAGGCATGGAGAGTGGCGTTATTCCTGACGGCCACATTACTGCATCCAGTACGCACTCAAATTGTCCCACCAGAAACGCTCGCCTTCATTCCCAGCAGAGTGGATCAGCTAGAGCCTGGTGTGCCGACAACCCACTGAACACGAATCAGTGGCTACAGGTGAGGGGAAACTGGGCTGTGTAACTTCACTTTATTTATTGTCTGGTGTCCTGTGAAGTGTAGTGTAGGGTATTAGTGTAGTCAAATCCATATTCCATATATAGATGTACCATATTTGTACTTACATTACATATTATCATATTTGGCGTTATCTCACATGGTCCTTTCCTTTACTATTAACAAAATGTATATCAAGTCATGCTGCTTCCCAGCTTAATGCTGTAACAGACATACCTTCTGACTACATGTATTTTGTTATTTTCAATTTCACCCGTCATTTTCAACAGTCACAAATTTGCTTCATTACCTCCATGAAGGTATTGTTTTTGGCTTGTCTGTCTGTGTGTCTGTGTGTGTTTCCGCAACTTTGTGGTCAGCATAACTTCAGAACGCCTTTATGGATTGAGATGATATTTGGTATGTTGGTAAGTCTTGGAAAGACAAAGGTCAAGGTCAAATATGGGCCTCCTGGTGGATCACCTTGGTACTGCAGCAGAGTTTTCGTTTTTTTAAATCTTTTGTCCTGAACATGCTATGGTCTTGACTTTTTGGTGAAAAGACCTTTTCCTGTCAGAAATAAGTGGTGTGGGTTTGGTCCTCCTAGCAGCTTGTTCTGGAACTGCAGGGGACTTTCTGGTGAATTCTTTTTAAGTCTATAAGTCCAGATAGGAACAACTCATTTTCATCATTTTTGGTATGTAAGTAGCTGAAAGAGAAATGTACATAATTAGATGCAAATTACGCAAGTGAAGACTTAATTTGCATAATTAAGGAGAGAATTCCATAATCACAGTGTTTTATATATAGTACTTTAATACATGTAATCTATTTAATCTATGTAAGGTGAAACATCAACAGATACCAATTATGCAAATGATGACCTAATTTGCATATATTATGTTAAAATGTAGCTGTCGTTTACAAAATTAGTAAGGACAAAACATATATTACATGGAGGTATTCTTGTTTCCTTTGCTAAGAAGGTGTTTTCAGAGGCATTTGCGTGTGCGTGTGCGCGCGTGTGTGTTTGTGTGTCTGTAAACACGATAACTTGAGAAGGTTTTAATAAATGGGTTGTCTTGGTAGATGGGTTGGTCTCGATGAGACCTCGAAATGATTAGATTTTGGATCACCCGGTACTTACCGCAGTGGAACAGATTTCTGCTCAAGCCTGATTTTTCCAGAATTTAGATAAAAAGTTTATTATTCTTGATTAAAAAGTTTATTATTACCAACTAATCTTTGACCAATCTGACCTAAGTCAAGATTGGAAATGCCAGGCATGTGTTCAGCTGCCTTTTCTCCTGATCTCTGTTCAGGTTGATGTGGGAGCAGTGACAACTGTCGCTGGAGTCATCACCCAGGGAAGGTCTAATTATTCACAGTGGGTGACCTCCTACAAACTACGCTTCAGCAGGGACGGAATCACCTGGTCCACATACCTGGACAAACTGGGACGTGAAAAGGTAATTCTTGTGTTCTGCTCGAGTCTGATTTTTCCAGAAATAAGACAATGCCCATCACTAAGACAACCTGCCTACCAAAAAAATCGTGAACCTCGGACCATGCCTACAAAATTAATCGTGCATAATCTGCCAAACAGTGCCCAAACGATTTCATAGCCTTCTTGTCGAAGGCAGTAAACTTTTCTCTCGTGATTGTAGGTATCACATCCTGTAGTCATATGACTGTTCTACTTTAGCGTTAGCATTAGGTGAATTACATTGTGAGTCCCTACGAAGTAGATTTTATTTTACCATCAGTTTCCATGTAGCATTGCTCAGGTAGTCTGTTCATTGATTTATTCACATTACTACCCCAGGTCTTCCCTGGCAACTCTGATAAGGACACCGAAGTGCGCCACCTGTTGGATCCGCCAGTAACTGCACGTTACGTTCGGTTCTGGCCGCAGACGTGGTATCGTCACATCAGCATGCGTGTGGAGGTCTTGGGACAGTAAGTATACGGCTGGGACCTTCTGTGCATGAGTTCTGCATTAAGACAATTTGAGAAGGCAATTTAAAATTAAATGAATTAAAAGCCCCAGTAAAAGTATTTGAAAGATTTTCACTGCACATTTACTGATTTACAACAACAAAGTACTTCTTCTTCTCCTCTGTAGGGACTGCACCAGTGACTAGCTAGACACAGCATGGAGACTTGCAGCTTTATTTCCAATATCTGCTTTACAGTTTGACGTTCGTTTTTTTACTCAAGCCTCACTAATTTTTGGTTCTCAAATGTTTTTCCAAAAAGATATGAAGCAACAGGGTAAAAACCAGCCCCCGAAGCAATGAACTTTTAATCAAACCACTGCCTTGGAAGATGGAAAAACTTTACCTTTACCATTCAGTCCGGTCTTACGTTGCTTGTACATGTGCGTACATGTACAAAACTGGTGTGTTACGCCTAAAGGCGGTTTACCGGTTATGCGAAGCAAACAAAACAAACTTTCTTCATTCGTTGGGCCAAAATTTTGGAGTTGATTCAGAAGTCTTTTTTTTTATTGATTTCTTATTGAAAAAGAACAAGTATAGTATACGTATGCGAACCATTTGAACATTAGAGTGAACACAATTTTAATGTAACAAAACTTGAGCATGATAAGTATGAATGGACAGAAGTTCAAATATAATGAAGCTTAAAAAGTAAGCATGATAAATAAGAATAAAAACAGAAATTCGAATATAACCAAGATTAAGCATGACAAGTAAGAGTAACCAAAAAGTCGAATGTTACCTAGCCTATCCTGAGTTTGTTTTGCAAGTCAGAAAAAAATTAAGTGGATAAATCCGAGAGGCAATTGATCAAATTAATGCGGACTTATTGTGATAGTTTACGCCTTATGGTAGCCTGGTGTCTAAGCCTATTTTAGCTGCTGCGTCTCTTTGAAGTCTCTGGCTAAGTTTAAGGTATCTGCACAGCTATTCCTATTACAGATATATCTTTTTTTTAACTGTTGTATTGTTTTCTCACTTTCGATACTTTATTTAGATCTCCAATCAGGGTTTTCAAATTCCTTAATTTTTATTTTGTATGTAAGCGAATCCTAAGCTTACTAAGTGGTTTGTACCGAAACATATTTGGATTTCTCCATTTTTCATGGTAAGTTTTTACATCACAAAATGTTGACTCGTGTGTGTATGGGACTGAGTGAAGTGTGTGTACACAATATGATATAATGGCTACTTCATTTGTGCAGAACTTAGCAGGCATTTATGGTCAAAAATAAAGCATACTACTCCACATATAGACTCTTTTATTGCAACATTTTCTGTACAGCTGGAGCTTTAGATAAATTTATTGTCTATTTACATCATATCGTACACAATAAAGGAAACACAAAATCCACCTTGACCAAACCTTACTACTCACAATGTAGCATGTACAAGCATGTATTGTGGTGAACGACTGTAATACCGTCCACAGTATAAACATGTTAGTGACAGGGATGACACTCAATTTCTTAGGGACGTGGCAACTATCAATTTAAAACAATTATCAAATGTGCTACCCGGCATTCTTAAACATGCCTTTCCTTTTGCAAGGACAATGTGACATCATCAAATCCTGAGCACACTATTCATCCCAGGGCCTAAATAAACGTGCACAGAAAACAGTGACATCACTATGCCCATGACATAAATGCAGAATCAAATTCCCATGTTTTAACATGATCAAATTCGGTCAAGAACGTTCCACTGAAAAAGTTCACTGCGACCATTGAATACATGGCAATTTTACATGGCCATCGATAAACATTCAAAATTTACACTTAGTATAAATAAATATACATATCATATGCATTATTATACAATTTTGAATAAACAGTCTAACTGCCCATTGCACATAAAACAATGTTCTTTATAAGTGGCAACAGCGTGTTATGGAATACAACTGTGTCTGTAAAGACAGAAGGAAAGATGGGCATGACAAGATAGCTAGTGAGGAGACATACAAAACACAGATTTAGTTTCCAGAAATATACCTTCCCGCCACCCTTAGTAAACTATCTTCATGTGTACATCACAACTTTTAAACCACCATAATGCCCAGGTAGGTATGGTCACAGCAACTGGAACTTGAATAATAGTGTGTTTTATCAGGTTTTCACAAATACTTGAACCTGGTATTAATTTTTGGCATATTCAAGCATTTTGGCTGGTACAAAATTCAAAGTCATTTCTTCAAAGGAAGGAAGGGTCATGTGAAAGATATGTCCATTAACCAAGGACATCAGATGATGCCAACTCTGGAAGCCTGAATTATTTTCAACCACTCAGCCCTGTCTTCTGTCAGTTTTGACTCATCCACGCTTTTTTCCAAGTCCATAAAAAGTTTAGTTTTTCTCTTATTTTCTTTTTGGGTGGGGGTGTTCCTCTCTCAGACAGGTATTGTGCTCTTCACGGCCTTGGACGCCGCTGAGGAAAAAATCCTGGTGAAAAACTTGAGTCCCGTCTGTCCTCCGGGGATGTAGCTGGCCACATACCTGTGTGCAGACAAAATGTTGTTATAGCTCGATGACAAGAACTGTGACATTCAAGCACAATGTTTTTGCCACACTTTGTCCATTAGAGTTCCTGCATTTTATTCAGAGCCTGCACAGACCCCAGGAAATGTAGCACACTGTTCTGTCAATACTGTTTTTCTAAAATGAAATAAACAGTTTAAAAATCATTCATACCAAAGCCAGTGACATGGACTTGACTTATCACCTAATTATCAATGTCATACACAGCATCTCTCATTTATATGGAACAAATTATACAAGAATGCAAGTACAACGTATATGGTTTCATATTGGAATCCTGATAAAATAGTGGTACAGAGAAACACTCACCACAGAAGTGCGATGATTTGTACGATGGCAAAGATGGTTGTGAGGATAGTGCTCTGTTCCTGTACATGAAAAGGTAGCAAAATACAGTATGCTGTAAGAAACATACAAGATCAGTCTTCTGTGTGTCCACATACAATAACCATGGTAGTAAGCCTCAGATAAATTGCAAACATTGCTGTACAATGCACATACATGTACTTACAACCAGTATCATACACTCACTACATCATCACTATAATTTACAAGAGCATTTTCCATAAACAGGTGTACAGAAAGGCTCAGCGAGGTCACAGTCCTGTATAACAGCCATACTTACCACCATAGCAAAGTATAATGTAGCAAACATGGACCCAAAGTACGCGGTGGTGAAGGGTAACCTCTCGGAGGACAGAAGGTGTTTCATGTGGTTGTACGGACCCCACAACAGGGAAAAACTGTAGAGACAGATGGCAAGAAGGGTCTGGTGAACTACCGGTATCTACAACAGGGCTCGAAATACTGGGTGCATGTGCAGTTAGTGCACCCAAATTTGGAGCTGTGCACCCAATTTTTTTCTGTGGGGCACCAGTGCACCCAAATAGTTTCTTAGGTTTAATGTATGTAAAGATGTTAAATGTTTAGTAGTCACAGCATATTCTTAATATCTAAGTGTCAGAAAAAAATACAATCATTGTTTTGGTACTTTTCTGAAAAAGGAAACATGATTGCAGTTTTTGCAGACATTTTAATTATATTATCTTATATGGTGCACCCAAAATTTTCTTGTGCACCCAATTTTTTAGCTTGGGTGCACCAGTGCATCTATTCCCAAAAATGAACTTCGAGCCCGGTACAAGTAGTAGACACTTATGCAACATGTAAATACTACAGTACTAACAGCACTAACTGCACTCGTCTTGTTGCCTGCACATTTCTGCGTCTATCCCCCATTTTTACCCACTAACAATGGTCTTGTGCAGCTGCTAATAATCCACCATATGGTGGGCTAAGCAGTGTATAAGAAGAAGAAAGCTGTCTACTAGTCTTACTGATTCTTGTAGACTTCTACATGCACCAATTGCACCCGCAACTCAACAGCGAACCAGTTGTTCACTTGTTGTAGATAGTCAAATTGTTGATGCCTTACCTGCCTATGAAGAAAAGACTGCCCATTGTGTAGAGGAGGGAAAACTTCCTGGCCTTCAGGATCATGACTGGAGCATACATGGCAGCCTGGGGGTCACAAAGAAAACAATCTTTATATGATCCTTTTTTTTTTCTGATCAGTGGTTACTCAAATTTCTCGATGGAAATTGCGTAAATGTAAAAAGGATCAGGATAACAACCAGATTATGTAGTATGTGACTGAGGTGGCCATGGCACAAACATTCCATTTTCTGTGTTTTTGCATTCTTTTGACCTCCTGTCATTCTGCCTGTCACCCTTCCTCCACCCAGGTGCTTTCAACCTACTGTCAAATTCACCCTTCTTTTTTTCTGTGTCTTAACTTTTGCCTACCTGCCATTCTGCCTGTCAATCTTTACCCCACCTACGTGCTGTCAACCTACTAGTACTTCGTCTAGACAAACAGGCATATATTGGTAAACGGCACAGCTCTGCCATCCAAAACAATACTTCCATACCCGGAATATAAGTAAAAAAGATGTTCAATCATTGCAGTGTTCTAGCCAAGATTTTTTCATAGCATAGGGGTCAGGTACAGAAGAGCAACTTTCGTGGCACAAATCAAGCATTGAGCAGAGATATTTTGAAAACTCATAACCCCGAGACACTATTTCTTGTTTAATGAGGAACAGATTTTGTGAAGTTAAGGTTTTCCCTTTGCTATAGCTTCATTCTAAAGTTATATTTTATTTTTTTGCAAGTTTTATGAAGGTTCTCCCTCCCAAAACACCCCTATGCTGGTTGAATCTTAGCATAGGGGTGAAAATTATAGCATAGGGGGTCAAAATTATAGTATTGGGGCCCCTATGCTAAAAAGGCCTGGCTAGAACATTGCATTGTTTTGTAGTACTCACCAGTGAGAAGCAGAAGAAACCTGCACAGAGGCACACCATGAATCCCATGATCCTTTGTGTTCTTGACTGGGGACAGTAAAAAAAAAGTCAGCAACTTTTAAAAAATATTCTTCTGATCATCTCATGTAACAGCACGAATACTTTGTCTATAAACACGTTTGTTGAAAACAAAACAAGGGAATGCACTACACTGATCCATTCTTTATTTCAACTTATAGGGATCAGGGGTACAACATTAACAGAAGGTGGATATTTTATCGTGCTTTGAAATGGTCTACAGTCACAGTCACCCATTCAAAAACTTTAACCAAAACTGTGCAAAGAATACACTTTTAGGCAAACAGTGAACAGAAAATCAATATAACCAACCTCCTTGATAAAACATTTCATAATTTGCACATCACAATGCTCAACAAGCCCAAACCAAGGTTCAACGTTGTATATTGTGTCCTGTTTTGATGTATGTAAATTGGGCTGTTCCAAAAAATAACTGTGGAGGGGGGGTGGAAGAGGTCTCAAATCAGCTTCTGACCCAACCCCCCTGTCCAGTCCAGAATTTTTTTTACCCACCCCCCTGTCCGGTCCAATTTCATTATTTTGACCCATCCCCCCTGTCCGGTCCAGATTTGTTTGACCCAACCCCCCTGTCCGTTCCAGATTTGTTTGACCCAACCCCCCCTGTCCGTTCCAGATTCGTTTGACCCAACCCCCCTGTCCGTTCCAGATTTGTTTGACCCAACCCCCCCTGTCCGTTCCAGATTCGTTTGACCCAACCCCCCTGTCCATTCTAGATTCGTTTGACCCAACCCCCCTGTCCGGTCCAGATCCATTTTACCCAACCCTCCTGTCCGTTCCAGATTTGTCCTAATATACCTGCCTTTTTCATATTAGGCAATTACTAGTACGTTTTTGAGTTTTGAGCGTTTATGTGCATGAGATGACTATTGTCAAGTATTGAACGTATTTAAACTTGTTTTAATTTTTTCAGCATTCAACATCACTATGAGGAGACTGAACTAAGCTCCACCATATAGATTTGGGCATCGTATGATTGTATGAAGAAAAGCACCAAAAAATGCACTGAGCATTTTCCCTGTGAGGAATTCCTCACAGGGAAAATGCACAGTGCAATTTTTTTAGGACTGAGCAATTATGAGCAGACATGCGGAGCAAAACAGTACAAGATGGCCATGATTTTACTTTGGGACATTTCAAGTTGAAACATCTCTCACCCTTCTTCAGTGGCACTAAACTGCACTTGGAGGAACTAGAAAAAACAGTTGAACAAAGAGTGAAAGACACATAAGTGTCACTGTTATTGTTATGTAAATGAGGATAGGGTAGATTATGGTAATACTAATACAACACCACAGCCAGGAACAACTGCATGTACTGGAGAGTTCTATGGGAAATCCTCCCTTCCAGTTAGTGGAGTTGTAGCTGCACCTATAGATGGCCTCCTGAAAATGTCCTGAAGTAATCACCATGATAATTTATCCAGTAGTAAAGTTTGATTCGTCTTTGAATATTGTTTACCTGGATGTCTAAGTTACCTTCATCAGGGTTATAAAAAGATCAGCTTGACATTTGCGTGCCAGGTGGATCGTGCCAGGCAATCTGACGTTTCCATGTTCAAGTTTCACACAGAAAACATTTTGCAAACAAGTCATGACTTGTTTGCAAAAGAGTCGGTATTTTGAACCCTGAGTTCTGTCAGGGATGAAAAATATGACTTGGTAGAAATTCATGACATTGTCTTGTTGTATGACAATCAATGTACAGTTTTATACCATTGTCCTTTTATGAAAGATGGGAGTTTATATGTGATATTTTTATGATGCTCTGAGTGAAAATAGAAATTCAATGGACTTAACCTATGAAGAACCTAGCTGGTTTGGTGGGGAAAACAATGGGAACCTGTAGGGACTTTTGTTTGTTCAAGCAGTGAATTCCAGGTCCATTGGCATTGGGTTTGGCTTGAAAGAGCCTAAATGGACTGAAAAGGAAATAAAAGGAGGTTTTGTATTAAACAAGGAGCTGGTTAAAATTTGTTTCTAACCTCCTTGTTTTGCTCAACTGCATCAGAGTATTGGTTTTGAAAATTCAAAATAATTCAAACTAGCCTGGCCCACACCTTCAGTCCTTCAGTGTTGTAAAGACTGTACTCATGACTTCTAATTCTTTCGGCAAATCAAATGACTTTGTGTAAACCTGACTGTCCTGAACTTTTACCCTAGAATCTTATTTCGCTGAAGTGACTTTGGCCTGAGATAATTTAGCATAATCTGATAACACAACAATGTCTGAGCAAACAATAGGAACTCATTAGGACATGGAGACAGTAATTAGCATTTCAATGAGTTACTGCAGCTGGTTGTGTGGAAACTGAAATCCTGGTACACCAAAAGTCTAGTACAAGTCGACTAGAACCCTTGGATAGGAAAAGAACCTAAAAATAATGAAAAGTACTCGTAAATCAAAGTTTTTTTAACAAATGCAAAATAATTGTCCAATAAAGCAGTTCAATTTTAGATGGTCTGTAAAAGATATTTTTAAATGATGTTAGACCAAATTAATTAGTCTTTACCACTAGTACCAGACTATTTACGAGAATATTTGCCGGGCTAGTTTGGCCTGGCCACCTTCGGGTTTGATTTCGGAGGGTAACTGGATTGTATCCGGAAAGAAACAACCTTCTACAGACTGACTCCCCAGGCCAATCCTTTTTGCCGAAATACATATGCTACAATCCGTAATCCCACAGAAAAGCCTGGTGGAGGCTACTAAATAACAACAAATGTGTCTTATCTGAGAAATTGTACCCATATGTTAGTCAGGTATATTTGGCATATGAACTTTGCATTCAATCACCCAAACAATTAGGTGCATAAAGGACTTTGGGTGCACTGTATAAAACAAGATTACTAGATGGCGTTAAAAAACCTCACACAAAAAGCCAGGTTGGCTCCTTGGCAGTTTCTTCTGACTTTGAAAAATCCCTATCAGTTTCTTCTTCAACATTGGGCTACCAGAATATCTGGGTGCACTCAGAAAAAGATTGGGTGTACAGCTCCAATTTTTGGTGCACCCTCAGTACTTTGAGCCCTGATTTGTAGTTTGCATCAAATCGGGCAAAACAATGGACAGGAGTGAGTGATACCCAGTTCATTTGATTCGTTGTTGGTACAGTAATACACTCAGATTCACACTTGCACTTGAATATTATCTAAATGACTGAAAAGAAAATCAAAGACAATTTTTATTCTTTTATAAGTTACAAGAACATTTGCAAAACAAAAAACCTATGCAGTTGACTCCATATTCAGTTGAACCAAGGAGCTTATACTATAGTTATAGCGAAACTAGATAAAAAGGAACAAAAATAATATATGTTACGGACAAGTTGCAATCTCCACAGTCACCCTACCATGCATGACATATTTTAGATCAACAAAGAAGTTAGGAAGTTATAAAAGTGATTCATAGATGGAAAGAAATTAACCTTGATGTGTGGTATATAACATTCTGAGAGAAACTGTTTGGCTAAAATTCGACTGATCCTTTTGTTATGCAAACCTTTGAAAGAGAATGCTGGATTAACTTGTTTACTTTACAACACTTGCTTGTTAACTTTACAGTAACCAACTAATTACTTGGGGTAAAATGTTGTTTCAGATAAATTTTGAAAAGGAAAAGGACTTTTACTTTCTAAATTAAGATTTTCTACTACTGTATTTATATTTGCATGTAAGAAAAGAAGAAATCCTATATAGCAGGACAAATTTGAGGAGCACACCAACCATCACTAAACAGGGATATCTGGCAGTATAAACTTCCTGGCACTTATAACCTGATAAGTCCATAAGGTCTGACATGGGATTGAGCTGTTTGGTCACTTAAATTATTTTATATGAAAGGTGTGGGACAGTTGAAATTTGATGCGTTAACTTAAAACAAATTTTATCTCTGTAACATTACAGTATGTACATCTTATAGACCTTATATGGACTCTATATGAGAGTGGTATGCATATTGAAGCTATGTTTATGATTGTATGATATTTATAATGTCCTTTATCCAGCAAAAAATCATTCTCAAACCTTCAATTAAACATCTAAGCAGGGATCTCCCCAGAAATTTAGGACAGAACGGAGGAGGGTGCGAAATATCGGTAAATTTGACCAAAGAACCCTGGAAAAGGGTGTAAAAACACTAGTTTTGAAAATTAACAGGGTGGAGCTGAGATAAGGACTGGGTGGAGGAGCTCCACTGCTCCATTGTTTAGGGAGGTCCCTGCTAAGACTGTTCAGAGAGATAAAATCCAAACCATAAAATGCTGAATACACCCAATACCCACCAAGTTCCAGTCTGGCTCCAACCCGGGTTTGTTTGACCCAACCCCCCTGTCCGTTCCAGGTTTGTTTGACCCAACCCCCCTGTCCGTTCCAGGTTTGTTTGACTCAACCCCCCTGTCCGTTCCAGGTTTGTTTGACCCAACCCCCCTGTCCGTTCCAGATCCATTTTACCCAACCCCCCTGTCCGTTCTAGATTTGTTTGACCCAACCCCCCTGTCCAGTCCAGATTTGTTTGACCCAACCCCCTGTCCGTTCCAGGTATTTGACCCAACCCCCCTGTCCAGTCCAGGTATTTTACCCCACCCCCCCCTGTCCAGTCCAACCTCTTCCGCCCCCCATTCTCCTTTATTTTTGGAATAGCCCATTATGATGACCATTTTTCTAAATTTTCCTTATATTTTTATATGTGATTGTCTGGCAAAATAATTCTATACCAGTACAATTGCATAGCGTCTGATCATGGAGTTAAAATCAAGATGGTTTGATAGGCCATATGCCCGCAACCCCCTCTCCTTTGGGGTTTGCATTGGCAAATTCATACTAATCACTCGTAGCCCTGTGATGACAAAAATCACGCCAACACGCATTTTTCTTGGCGGAGTTACTCGATGAGACTTTTTATAATGTGTATTTTTGTAAACGACTGACTATGAGTAGCTACCTATGAGTAAATTGATTGCTGCTGCCAACTCACCAAACTCGGACAACATGGGTCCTTCTGTGCCTGACCGAACCAACCGTTACTCCCGCTCTCTGCCTGCGCCTCCTCGTCCTTCTGCCCACCGAGGAACGCCGGCAGCTTGGGCGCCCATGCCCCCAGCCCGTTGGATAAGCTTCCGTTCGCATCGGAGTCTGGAGATTTGTTTTTGGACCCATTTTTGTTTCGACTCTCTGCCAAGTAGGCTTTCAGTGACGCGTTCAACTCAGCCATTTTGTTTTAGGTGTTCTCAGCGCAGCTGCCTTTTTAATGCGCCCCTTTCGTACTAGTTACCTCTAAAAGATATCTATTTATACATAACCGTATAAAATAATCAAATTATAAAAGTTTTAAATCACAATTGTAGCATTTTAGATAATAAAATAAGTTCAACTTACGGTAATAGGTGAATTCTTTTGACAGGCAGTTAAAATTTCGTAACGAACAGCCGCGTAATTTAATCCTCGTTGGACCAATCACAGCGCAGGATTTTGCGCCCATGGAAACTAACAAGCCACTAAGTGACAGATCGACTTGTTGCAGAGTTCACGGTGTGATTCCTGATCTTTGCCCCAGATTATGCGATTTTCTGGGCATCAAGTGTGATGTAGCAGGACATAAATCGATGGATTCCATGCAGTATAGTTTGGAGATACTTGTCCTTATGGCTGAAAGGTGGTGACAGGGCAAACTAGGTTATCAGAGACAAGAGTTGCAGGAAGGAAGTTGAAGTGGGCCAAGAAGGTAAACAGAGATCAAAGATGGAAGCAAAGGCGAGGGACTCGGAAAACTCCAGCACGGTTTTACCAAACGGGACGAACGGAGAGGGAGAAAAGGAGGAAGCAGGGGCAGAGAGGGAAGCGGTGACGAGTACGGCCGAGTTGCCGGGGCCACGGAAGGCCGGCCGCGGGAAGGACACCGCTCAGCCCCCGCCTTCCAGCGCGGCAAGCACCGGGACTGACAGGCACGTATCAAAATTATGTCGGCATCGATATTTCAAATTTAGTAGTATATTCTGAGCTCTATTTGTTACCAGATTACCTCAAGGTCCTGTTTAGGTGGTTTGGAACTGCAGGAACTAACCACAATATGCTCCAGCATAATAATTTTTCACCCAAAGCTTTTGGCACCACAACTGTAACATTTAATATACCTCTGGGGAATACCACATTGATCTTATTATCTTTATAAGGTGATTGATGGGAATAGCATGAGAATACTTGTTGCAGGTCTTACCGGAACAGCAGGGATTGTTGGATGAAATAGCGGGATTAGTCACCATAGGGAAGAACTTAATAATGTACGAAACCGATCCCCAACAATTCCCAGGCTTACAAATGAGTTCAAGGACATTATGTGTTGGTTCAACTCTGTTTTGCATTTGTAAGCTCGCTCCATTCATGAGTTGATGCATGTGTAGTTGTATAGAGAAGTTGGGATTTCTTTGTGATTTGCAAAAATATTTCTCTGTGATCCAGTGATTTTGCGCAATGAAGAATTTTTCTACAAAAAAAGAAGAATACACATAACCCTGGTATACCAGTGTTTGAAAAGCATAATGGTTTAGGGACCCAAGGAGACTTAAAGCTGCATTACCGGTATGTAACATTTGGATGATACAAGAAGTAAATTTTCTGGTTATTTCTGTACAAATAAGTGAAATCAACCCTACTCAGTTCCAAATTCATATTTCAATTCTTGGTACAAAAATGTTACATAATGGCCCTTTAAAGTGCCCTGTGATGTAACAGTATCATGATGAAGTAAAATGACAGAACATTGTTTGACGTTAGTTTTATTTCTAATGCTAATTTGATGATGTTGATTTTAGGGAGACGAAGATTCTGCCATTTGGAGGAGAGAAGATTGAGAGTAGGCTGAATGTGCTGGAACTACAGGCAATGCAGGAAGCCTTCATGGTGAGTGCAGTTTGTATTCATAGTTTGATGTACATGCAGGGCTCGAAATTCATTTTTTGGAATAGGTGCACTGGTGCACCCAACCTAAAAATTGGGTGCACAAAAAAATTGTTGGGTGCACCATATAAAACAAAACAGGAGCTAACTTCAAAATCTTAAACAAGTACTAGGAGAAAGATTTTATTATTTTCCTGACACTACGATGCCAAGAATATCCTGTACACTATTATAATTTTGATATGTACAAAAATAACCTACAAAAATATTTGGGTGCACCAGTGCACCCACAAAAAAAAATTGGGTGCACAGCTTCAATTTTGGGTGCACTAAGGTGCACACGCACCCAGTATTTCTAGCCCTGACATGTGTACCATTTATCCCAAATGTAGACTGTCGTTCAACAAGATTCTGGATTAGTTCACACAAAACTCAACATCAACAGCAAAGGATTTGTCAATTTTGTAATTTAGATAAAATTGAGGACGAGTATCATTTTGTAGTTGATTGTACATTACCTGGTAATTGTACTCAGTATGTCTTAACTAATGGCTGGCAGTGAATGCATGAATTGAAAGTTGATCAAAGCAACATAGAAGAAGGAGCAAGAAAAATTCATTACACAAAATAGTTATAAGATATTTATTTTGTATTAGGCCATGTTGATTTGATTATATGGATGACATCCTCTGGGAACCCCAAAACTGATGCGCGCGTGCGAATAAAAAAAAAGTTTTGCAAAAAAAAAAGTTGTTTTCATTATGAAATCTACGTGGTCATGAGGGTTGAACAAATGGGACAGAATATGGTTTGGCGAATAATCTAGTCTTCAAGTTCATTTCTTTACAATTTCGTCTTTTTTCGTTTGATTTTGGCATTCTACGACATTGGTATAGTTTTTACTTATTTTTTTGTAACTTACGGTATATTTTTGCTCATTTTGCAACCGTTTTGTACGATTTACAGTATGGTTGAAAACTTTTTTTTTTTTGGAAACGGCCGAAAATCCATGCGCGCGCAGATGTCATCCATATAATCAAATCAACATGGCCTTAGTTGTCAAGAAGTAGAATGAGAAGTATGGAAAAAAATACAACAAATGTAGTTATACATAACTTTCTTTTTTTTCCCCTGGTATTAGATGTATGTGAGGTTTAAGTAAGAATTAGCTGTATATCTATTGATGATATTTATCACAAGTAATTTGAATGGTTTCTTCACAGATTGAGGGCAGTGGCTATGACAACAAGCTGAGTTTGGACAAAGAGGAGTTTATACAGAAAATGACTGACATTCTGAAGAGACAAAGCAATGAGGAGGTTGGTTGTTTTTAAAAGTACTTTTGTCTTAGTTTCTTTTCAATGAGATTTACGCAAGAAATGATGAAATACTGGTAAAAGATGTAACTAATTTTGGTTATCCATATGGAATCTGTGATTGTTTGATGTTTGATATATTATGCTGTATATACTTATTGAAAGTATACATGCATACATTTGTGCCACTTTTAACCAACTACTGTAATATGTTTATGTTCACTAGTATGCTGAACTGTTTGACAAAATTGATGTGACGAAGGATGGATATGTTGACTGGGTGAGTACATTGTCTTTTACCTTTTCTGTGTACATGTGATCCTCAATGATTATACAAACTTGGGAGAAAAATGTAAACTAATGCACTGTCCGTATTGAAAGATTTACACCAAGGATATTTATTGCTGTATCCAGTGTATTAAATGTATGCCACTTATTAGATTAATGAGTCATGCACTGACTAGATAAACTCTGGAGAATCATGCCTATTTGCATGTGCAGGGCTGAAAATTCACTTTTGGGAATAGGTACACTGGTGCACCCAGCCAAAAAAATTGAGTGCATGGTAATTTTTGGGGGTGCACCATATGATTATGAAATAATCTTATACAACAAAGACTTTATATATACTTTAGTTTATAGTATTTTTCTGACATCTAGATGTCAAGAATATACTGTATACTAGCATACATTAGATATCTTTATGTTTGTTAACCTACGAAAATATTTGGGTGCACCAGAAAAATTGGGTGCACAGCTCTAATTTTGGGTGCACCAAGGTGCACATGCCCCCAGTATTTCGAGCCCTGCATGGATATTGAAAGCCAGATTTACTGTGTGTGCATTGTTTGAGGGTTAATTTTGTTCATCATGTGCATTCCAGGACAAGATAGCCTCCCACATGTTGTTGGAGTATTATGAGAAAGATGACAGAGTAAAGGCAACACAAGTCCCACAGTGGAAGGACCTGAAAGTGCTACAGAGGTACGCTTTTTCTTTCAATCCTCTTTTCAACTAAATCCACACATGTTAGCAGAGATTTCATGGCACCTCTGTATGTAAAAGAACCCAACACACTTATGGGAAGTCATGACCCAGTGTCTGTCTTTAAACGCTAGCTGTAGCAAAGCCGCATTGCACCGGTAGCTACTAATTTGGAGTTGCAAAAGGAGTATTTCTATCTTAACTGTTATGGTCCCTTTCTAGTGGGATGTTATTGCTTCTTGCTACTTTTGTACAACAAGCAATTCAGGCAAGAGACTTGATTGTCATTGCATTTGAAGATGCATCTAAATGAGTTTGTTATGGTTATTTTTCTGATTATTGTCATGGTTTTATTTCCAGCCCTCATAAAGATACGATACAGAAGATTAAGTACCACAAGGCCACACAGAGATATATCTCCATCAGTAAGGAAGGCTGCGTCGCCCTCTGGAGCCCACAGTGCAAACTGCAGAAATCTGTCACGGTCAGTTCTTGTTGTTTGCCTTGGTTTGCATCAAATAGACCAATCCTGAGTGTCCATCATCATTAGCAGTTCAACCAATGGTAGCATGGCAATTAGGGGTTAGACCAATGGGAGAATGGCTGCATGTTTGTCAAATATTTATGCTTTTTAATGCTTTTATTTGCATTTTTACGTTTTAACAGCAATAGGATAGGTCTATTAGTATTACACTGTTACTGTCACAATTTTTCTTTTCACGTATTGTTGTTTGCTTTTCAGTTTATCATGTAAATAAATGTACTTGTATGAACATGTGGAACATATTCTTCATCATTCTAAACTGATAATCTTCTTATTGTTATTTATTTATTTATTATTTTATTATAATGGTCTCTTTCTTTGTGAAACAGTGACTTGAAGTTTACATGCCTTTCTTCTTTATGTCTCTTCAGATTTCCGTGGACTCGGTCAAAGACAAAGACCTGTGGGTCAGCGACTATGTCCTCCTTCCCAACATCAACAAGATAGCTCTATCCTTAACCAGCAAGGAGATACGTAAGCAGAAATACTCATGTTTCTTGTAAAATCTATCCATCACAATGGTCTGCATTGTGGGTCAAAGAAATGGTGAAAATCTATATAGTGCAGAATCTAATACAATCTGTTACAAGTAGTACATTGTACATGTTGTAAATTAGGTGTTCAACCTGTGGTCTAGAATAGAACTAGTCGGAGTAGATATGTCATTTAGAGTTTGGCCACACCGATTTAATTTTATGGATGACATCCTCTGAAGACCCTCAAACTAGTGCGCGCGGGCGAATAAAAAAAAATTCCGGCCAAAAATAAAAATGCTACTGAACCACAGGAATACAAAGCTGGTATTGTGAATTCCCGACAGTACATAGTGACGTATACGACAAGCCGGCACATGCTGGCTTTTTGTGGCATTTATGAATCGGTACTATACTTATGTACTGAGTTCTTGAGTCGTGGAGCTTCGAATTTGATAGCTTGGGTGTTTGGCTCCGTTTTGTCGCTGACTAGCATGGACTACCCAGGCCTAGAGCCAGGCCAGAGCCTCGGTGGAGGTGATCTTTTTTTTTTTTTTTGAGGGCGACAGGCGAAAATCAATGCGCGCACGGATGTCATCCATAAAATTAAGTTGGTTTGGCCTTTGTGGCATTTTGGTTGTTCACCTCTGTCTGCATTCAACCAATGATAACATAGCAATTAGTGGTTAGACTAATGAGAGAATGGCTGCATGGTTCGGTATGAAAAGACTTAAAGTTTGCACTTCATACTGTTTAATATTGGTTATTTCTCAGTTATTTTGTACTAAGCGCTAAAATTGTTTTACATTTGCCTTCCAGTTTTTTATGACTTGAGTACCAAGTTGGACTTCAGCTGCCAGTACAAGGTAGAGGGGCTGGAGTACACTCCTCTCTCTCTGGACTACTGGTAAGTTACTTGTTTCCACGCATTCTACAGAGAGTACATAATGTGGGTTGACATTATGCAACAATTAAACTGTTATCAAACTAAAAAGATAATGGTAATTGGACTTATGACCTGTTCCCATGTGTGGCTGGTGTTCAGCACCTAGGACAGACCTGTTCCTATGTGTGGATGGTGTTCAGCACCAAGGGCAGACCTGTTCCTATGTGTAAATTGTGTTCAGCACCCAGGACAGACCTGTTACCATGTGTGGAAGGTGTTCAGCACCAAGGACAGACCTGTTCCTATGTGTGGCTGATGTTCAGCACCAAGGACAGACCTGTTCCTGTGTGTAGATGGTGTTCAGCACCAAGGACAGACCTGTTCCTATGCGTGGCTGATGTTCAGCACCAAGGACAGACCTGTTCCTATGTGTAGATGGTGTTCAGCCCCAAGGACAGACCTGTTCCTATGTGTAGATGGCCTTCAGCACCAAGGACAGACCTGTTCATTTTTCTCATCACACATAATCTCCACATTTTGACCATAAGAATAAGATTTAGTATACTCCAACTTGAGAAAAGTTAATTCCTGCCCAACTTCCCCACTGACCCTGGTGCAAGGTTAACCAGAGGTTCTTGTTTTGTAATGCGGGAAGTTATGATAAAATGTCAATGTAACTTCTCTTCCCAGGAGTAACCCAGACAACCCCAGCGAGGCATTTCTGGTATTCGGGGACGTTGGAGGTCAGGTCACGGCCCTGAACTTCACCTCCACACACATCGCCCTGTTTGAGAGACCCACACCTCCTGTGGGGGAGGAGGAAGGTTGGTTTCAACTTTTCACGACTCTGAGTATGACGGTTGTTTAAAGCCCTCAGATCTGTATACTAAACTCATTCATAAGGTTTTAATCTTCCAAGTGCTGTCCCTGTTTCTAGTGCCACCGGTAGTACATTGGTAGGACGTACTGCACCTGTGTGAAATCATGGTTGCTGTTGGATGTTTGGTCACGTTTCAGCAGAATTCTGTCGCGTACCTTTTTCGACATAACATTTGAAAACTACCGATGGGATATCATTCTCAAACACGTGAACACAAAGCAATGCATTCTTTAGCAGCGCTATCCATGCTACATTCCAGATTTTACGCAGGCGCTGTACGTTCTGCCAACGAGATGTCAGTGCTAGTCTTTCTGTACAGCTACTCTCATGTGGCACTGTGCTTCTGTGCTGCTTTCTACATGTACTTCAAGCATTCCCTCCAACTCTGCTTTCTGCTTGGTTCTGTCAGTCAGCAAAGAGAAATGTCTTGAAGCTGACTGGTATTGTTGACAGTGTAGCTAGCTGTTATATATGGACTTCATGTTTATTTCATTGTATATGTTGTACACCCACAGCTGAAGTGACGGTAACAGTACAGCTGAGTAACATAGCCAAGGGGAGAGACAAGTACTGTAAGATGGCCCGTCACAGAGAGCATAACGGAGAGTGGACCAGACAAGGTAACACCTTACTTAATATTCTTTTCATTTTATGCCCAGTTTTGGATTGAATGACAAGAGATATTCTTATGGTTTTGCAGAAATCTTGACTTCTGTCCAAACTCAGACCTAAGGGATGCTTGTGAAAATAAAGAAATAATCCATGAGTCATTTTTGTGATACCTATTGGCAGAAGCCCAATCCACTCTGTCAAAGACTAGTGTTTTTTTTAGTTTATACTTACTATCGGTTTTTTAAGATTATCATCTGTTGTTTCCCGTATCACAAGGGTTAGATATGCTTGTGCATGGTTGCTGGGGATTGATGGCAGCCTGCCTGCCTGTCTAGTGGATTTAAGTTGTTAAACCTGTATAATTTTTATATTACTATTCAATCTATATTGCTGGAGAAGAACGACTGATTCCTCCTATACGTGTATTTGGTATATTGCCCCACACCTCCTCCATCTATCCTGTAAATTTCACTACATGCATGTGTTTATAAGATAGGGAAATCTGTTTTTCTTATAATTTTGATGTAGATTGTTAGCTCCACCACATGAAATAATATATATCATTCAGTTGTCGTCTTGGCAATGATTTTTATTGCCTCAGCCTTGTTGTGCTTGTTTCTACAGTGAGGTACGCTGCACATCTGGAGTGCTTCATCTCCTGCTCCACCACTGCCCGTAGCTCCATGGTGCTGGGCTGGGTGGAGAAGGCTGCACGCAGCATGAGAACGTGAGTGGGTTTGTTAAAGCTTAGAAATGTTTTCAAAAATCATTCCCAAACTTTTACAGGCAGTACCCATCTATGTTTGTATACATGTAGACCCTGGGCAACACAGGCCACTGAAGATAGCTATTTTGCTAATAATGGTGTGTCTTTAACTCCCATACTCTTGTAGCATTTTTCAAGTCTCCAAGCTTTAAAATGTAGTCAAAATACTTCGCAAACCTTTCAGTGAATAGGTGCAGTGCCCATCTCCATTTCTATTGCCATTGAGCCATGTAGGCTGCTACCAATAGGCTACTATACTAGTGGTGAAGTGTATTCAGTTCCGTACTCTTTCTGTTTTGTTTTCCAGAATATCCTTCAATGTGAGCCAAGGAATCCACTGCTTTGACTACCATGAACAGATGAACCTGATTGGTAATATTTTTGAGATAATTTCCTTGTTATATTTACTGATTGCACCAAAGAATGAAATTAGTGGCATTTTACTTAGTGTTTTGAACTTCAATAAGGTGATTATTTTACACACAGTCTGTAACAAATTACGTAAATGTGTAAAAAGGCGTCCAGTCTTTTTAGCATAGTGGGATAGTATGATTTCAACCCACATGTAAATAGTTTGTACTTGACAGTTCAAGATGTAAATCTTCTGCATCATGGAGAAAGTTTCAAATCTTCAGTAGAAAAGTCTTTTGATAACCATATTATTTGTTGAACGCATAATTGTCTAATTGTTTCTGTCCTAAGCCTTACCCTGCTATGTTGTATGATTGTTTCTCCAGTCACAGGAGGAGTAAACCATCATGTATCCCTGTGGAACCCCTATGTCACCTCCAAACCCATTGGTGTAAGTCATCCCATGTATTTTACACAATGTCATATGTTCATGTCCTCATGTGTCATCATGTATATATATAACTGTCCAGTTCACATGATATGTTTTAGGTAGTCTACCATCTATGTTTTAACATCTGTGTCCATAATATAATATCACCATGGTCCATAATATTGCCACCTTGAGAAAAAGTGTGCTTAAAGATATTTTTACTGCAAGATACCTTAGGTATATACATTTGAGGTGTGCAGGAGGGCATACCAAAAGTATGTTGCAGTAAAAATATCTTTAAGCACACTATTTCTCAAGGTGGCAATATTATGGACCCTGGTGATATTTTTGGACACGGATGTTAGCTCTTGGTTACTTGTAAACTTTCAAACCTTTCAAATCAAGGACATCAGATTCTGCTATACGTGTTGGTAAGTTCTTGGGTCGTGTGGCATGATGACAGTGCGTTCAGCTTGGAACCAGGAGTTCCCGAGTTCAAATCCTGCCATGCCACCGATCTTGTGCCCTTGGGAAAGGCACTTTACATGGCTATCCTCACTTCACTTCACTCAGGTGAAAATGAGCATGTCTAATGTCTGTTCATGCAATTGTCCTCTGCATGGTAGCATGAATTCATGAAAATACTAGTAAGTTGAAAAAACTTGAGCGTGCTGTCACCATGTCTTGCCAATTGATAAATGTTGGTCCAAAAAATTACTGACAGTAGATTTTAGAATAACTTTCAAGACATGTACCTAGGTACTACAGGAGGTATTCTTGTCAGTATTTCAATAGATCGTAACTGTACACCATTCTGCTATATCCTCCCAGTTGCTGAGAGGCCACATGGCAAGTGTAGTGAATGTACAGTTCAACACCACCAAGGGCCAGATCCTGAGTTTCTCCAAAGACAAGGTGCTGAGGGTGTGGGACATCCAACAGCAGCTCTGTCTACAGAGGGTGGCCGGCATCTTCCCTAAAGGACCTGAAGGTTGGGCTTGTTCTCAATTGAAGCTAAGGCCATACCAATTTAATTTATTGGTTCTTGGATTTGCCCACTTCATTTTATTTTTGATTTGCCAAAAAAAATTCAGGTTCTGAATCAACTCCAAATGCTCATATTTTGGCCTCAAAACTGTTGAGGCTCCTTGTCATCCTAGTTGTTGCAGTTTTCCCATCTATCAATGCATTCATTTGATAAAAAGTTTAGACTTCTTATTGAACCTTACCAAATGAATATGATATTTGTACTGTACATGGCCAAATTTCTCATGCTTTGACTGTTTATCACCTACCAGAATGTACTGTGTCTGTGCTAAACCTGTAATGTATTGTGCATATAAACACTACTGCAGAATGTCTTGTTCAAGGTTTTGTGGCTGAAATATTAGGCTTGCATGTGTTTTTTTTTAGCATGGTGAGTTTTGCACCATTTACTTTTACAAACAACTGAGCTGCAGTGTCATGGTACATTTTATTGGTGATATTTTTGGTAAACATGACATAACATCTGTGTCCATAATATCACCAGGGTCCAGAATATCGCCACCTTGAGAAATAGTGTGCTTGAAGATATTTTTACTGCAACATACCCTAGGTTTGTACATTTGATGTGTGAAGGAGTGCATACCAAAAGTATGTTGCAGTAAAAATATCTTTAAGCACACTATTTCTCAAGGTGGCGATATTATGGACCCTGGTGATATTATGGACACAGATGTTACATTTTGTAACATACTTATTAAAAAAAGATATCATTTTTACGAAAATGTAATATTTTCATACGTTTTCTCCTTGCAGTGTACACATTCCTGCAGTTTGACGAGGAGCGGTTGAAAATGTTCATAACGTTTAACAACCAGCTGACTCTGCTGGAGATGAAGCCAGAGATGAAGGATAAAATCCTCAGCCATGACAAACCCATCACCAGTGTGCTGTACAACAGGACATACAACCAGGTCAGGGGGCAAAGGTTGTAATAAAGGGGGAAGGTCAAGGGGCAAATATTGCACTAGAGGGTGAAGGTCAAGGGGCAAAGGTTGTGCTAATAGATGAAGGTCAAGGGACAAAGGTTGTGCTAAAGGGTGGAGGTCAAAGGGCAAATGTAGTGCTAAAGGGTAAAGGTCAAGGGGCAAATGTACTGTAAAGGTCAAGTGGAGGTGAAAGGGCAATAGTCAAATGAGGGATGTATTTGGGCTGTTGAGGTATGCTTCCTTCAATGTTGTACATATCTTTGGAAATAAAAGAAATATTTCTACCAAAATGCTGTTATCTAAGACATTGTGTTGAAATGAGAAGGAACAACACTGTCAATCCCCCTCAGGTCATCAGTGGCTGCCAAGGTTCTACTGTGACTGTCTGGATTATTGACTCAGGTCAAAAGGTCAAACAGGTAAGTGTGATATGTAATAATCATATAATGAAGTTAGCAGGTTTTAGTCATGAAGTTAGTAGCTTTTGTAAATAGTGTACAAACCTAAATCCAATTCAAAGTGGCTCTAGGTTGATAAGATGATAGTTATGTTTATATTTTTACGATTAATTCCCCCAGTTTGAGAACTGCCATGGTAATGCAGAGATCACCACCATGGCTCTGGACCCCAGTGACACCAGACTGTACACGGCAGGCACAGACGGGACGGTCAAGGTCAGTCTTTGTTACAAAGGAAATTTCATATTCCTTACAATGCAACTAGATAAGCCCCATCTGTTCTTACATTTACAGCTGTCTTATAAAGTGAAAAGAAGTTGAAATTTTACATACCGGTATACATTAGAAATTGCAGATGTGTGTAGTAAGATGCCACACTGATGAGTAAAATACCTAGAACTGCTTTTATTACTGACCTGTACTTAGCTTGTAAGCACATACACATGCAATAAACTTCTTTCATTCATTAGTCCAGTGGAAAACTGGAGAAGTTGAGATGTTATTTGGGTTACATTTCTTCTGTAAGACATAACATCACAAGTTTCAAACATAGTTTGTAGCTTCTTCCAAGCAGTCAACCAGTTCCCCTTCCATCAATTTTACAATTGTTGTACTCTTCCAGTTCGATTCCCCCTAAAGAAAGTGAAAATTTCCTGCCATACTATCTTTCATTCTGACCTGCATCTTTGTGTGTCCAACATGCTGCCATTTGTGTCACAGGTTTGGGATTTCAATGGTCACTGTCACCACCTCCTGAACGCAGGCAGGGACTCAGCTGTGGACATCACACAGGTGCTGGTGCTGAAGAGAACTGTGCTCGTCATGGGCTGGGACAGGTCAGCTCTTTTCCATGCTGCAGTTTCTGTGTGTTCTGCTAGGGGGTGACAAGGGGAGAGGTCTACCGTCACTGCTTGCCTTGTTGATTTAGTATTTTGGTTTCTATTTAGACAATTATTTGTGCTCCGTTTGGCTTTGGAGATGCAAGTTGTATTTTACCTGGCCATGGTGCTTGTTGCACATTCAAACTTTGAGCTATGTTTTAACCTTTGTCATCTTGTATTTTCTTCCCTTTCTGATATGTGTACAACATATTTTCCTTTACAATTCAAGTTGTAAATGGAACAGATGATGATTTTGACAATCCCTGATCTTGCATTTCCAGAATGATAACAGTATTCCGGTTTCAAGCCTTCAACACATACACAGTACAGCCATCTGACTGGAAGGGTGGACAGGTAGGAAGAAACCTCATTATTACAGCCATTTGAATAGTTCTTCTTTTCATTCTTCTTTTGACATAAAATTAAGGATTATGAGAGTATGAAATAGTGTTTAGTGGGGGCTGCGTTAAATGTTAATTTTCATGGTTGCAGCTAGTATGAAATTTTAATGTAAGGGTTCAACATGCTGCACACCAAGATGAAAGGGTGGGATAGGCATGAAATTAAAATGCTGTGGAAAATTTATGTTAACTGTTAAAGTGATGATGGAATAGAGAGAAATAGAAATAAGGAGCTAAAAGCAGAATTGGGGCAAAATTTATGATTTAGAAACTAGGCATTTGTTATACCTAGCCATTTCTACCATAATGTTTACCAGGGCTTTGTCCCTGTCAGTTTTTCACAGCAAAAAGGAGCTCAATTTTTCTTCCTGTTCCTTGAGTATGATTCTGCAATGTACTAGTTTGCAACACTAGACATTGCACAGAGCCACAACATTAGAGAGAATTAGACTGCTACCATCATCTCTTGAGATGAAAGGATGCCTCCTACTAATTAGCAGTAGGAAAGGTTTAATGTTTTGATCTTCATCTTTTAGGAACACCAAGATGACATTTTGTGTGGAGCATTCAGTGATCCAAACACCCTAGCCACAGGGAGCTACGATGGAGAAATCATCCTGTGGAACAACCAGGTGGGTTATACCTATCTGTACAAGTCCTCTGTTCAGTGTTCTTCTGATTTATATACCATTTATTTTGTATTTTAGTGTGATCTCTTGAAAACCTACAGTGTACATGGGCTGGGTGCATAAACCACAAGAGACAATAAAGCTTCATGCATTTCCTTCCTTCCATTCTTCCTTCCATTCTTCCTTCCTTCCTTTTATTTGTTTATTCATTCTTTCATTCATTCATTCTTTCATTCATTTGTTCATTCATTCATCTGTTCCTTTCTTCATCCATTCTTTCCCTCATTCTCCATTCAATTTTGATATTCATTCAAAAACGTTCATTCATTCATTCAACTTTGATATTCATTCATTCAATTTTGATACTCAATCATTTCCTCATTCTTCATTCATTCGATTTTTGACATTCATTCCTTCCCCAGGGGGAGAGAGCGTCCCGTCACCTCCGACAGAGAGTGCGACAGAAGGGGAAGACGAGCACACGTCAGACGACCACGGCGGGGAGCGTTCCCACGGTGACGAGACAGGGAACTGTGTCGTCCCTGACCAGTACCGACGAGAAAGCCGCGCTGTCCCGCGAAGTCACTCTGCTGAGTCTGGAGGATGAAGAAAACGTAAGACAAAAGTTTGTTTTCTGAACATGAGAAAATGAATCATTGAATGAATAAATAAAGGCATAAATATTTCATTCTGTAAATGCTTTGCATTGCTTTCTTTCAAAAACTCTGAATAAAGTTGTTTTCTTGTTCCGCAAAGTTTAACAAGTTTTAGGATGTCAGTGATGTGTTCCTCATGTGTTATCAACCAGAAAAACAGAACAAAAATGGCCGTCTTTCAATTGTTTTGATTTTTGTTGCATCAGTATTTTATTACAGTATCTTATTACGTATTATTAATATTATTATCCATAGTGAGTGAGTATTTCATTACATGTGATGAGATATTTTTGCTTTTATCTGCTAATGCTTTCAAATGAAGTTGTTTCTGTTCTTCCATGGTGAAAGGAAGTGCAAAGAATTAATAATTTTGTTATCTCTTCCATGACTGTTTTCTGCAGAGTGAATTTGGGAACCCTATCACCAGGATGTTGTTTCTGGAGGAGAGGAGGGATAACCTGGAGGGGGGAGGGAACCTGGTGTCGTGTGGGGGGAACGGGTTCGTCAGGTTCTGGAGTACCGGGGACAGCAGCCTGGTGTCAGAGTTCCTGGCACACCCTCACAGTCAGTACCCTCAGTTATCTTATATGTGCTTTACTTTACAATGGCAGGGCAACATTAAGTGATGTTCTCTGTGGTTACCAAAGCATATTCATGCAAAACTTCAAAGGGAGTCAGTCATATGCAACCTGATACTGTGTGAGGATACATGCTGCCCTTTAGTAGATCTAACTAGAGCTATGCAGGATAGGGAGATATGGAAGAAGAGAGTATGCACAACTGGATAATGATTGTCATACATATTGCACATTCTTTAAATTGTAATTGAGAAAGTGTGCTGCAGTTTCTATCCTTACATACAAATGTAGTATCTACTTAGACTATATAAGAACAGTTACTACAGAATTGGTTTGTTACACCACATACTGTAGTCAGTTACTGGGTTTGAGATTTAGATTCAGTAAAATAAAATAAAAAATGATTATTTTTGTCTTGTACATGTAATGTTCATAATTACAATGTCCACAATGTCCAACAGTATTTGACCTTTGTGATCTGTTGCCATGACTTCAGTCGGTAGCATCATCATGGCCACGGACGACAGCAACCGTTACCTAGCAACAGGAGATGTGGATGGTAACGCGAAGGTGTGGAACATCGAGGAGTACTGTCTGAAACACAACCCCGATGGTCCAGTCTGCACCGACCCACCTCGTAAGTTTTCCCCTTTTTTGGCAACACCTCTTAGGCGGAGCCCTTTTGTGTATATTACGTCTAGATTGGAAAATTGTTTTTAACTTCAGGCTCATAGGAAAATGGCTTTGAAAATGAATGCCCAGGAAGGAAGAGTTAAGGTAACAGATTGAATTTCTTTCTTTTTTTTTGCAATTTACAATTTACAATCATTGACAATTACAAATTACATTACGAATTAGATTTCATTTTTTTATGATTGCATGTCATTTCACATGATTTTAACCACATGGCTGCAAATGGCTTTCACCTCAAGTTCATGTGGATCATGTATGTATTAGTACAAACTACTTTTCACCTTCCATCCAAACCAACATAACAAATAATTATTATTATCAGGTTCCAAAGAAAAGTTGACAGTTGATGATGATGCTATCCCTAAAATTCCTCTAGCGTTGCTGTGTAACCAGACACCACATCTAGACTCCATCAACCAGATGTTGTTCTGCCGGCGGAACGACTGCGACCTTATCGTGTCCTGCTCCTCCGACTGCAGTGTTGCATTGTGGGATGTCCACGGGAACATCATCGGATATTTTGGACAGGTAAGGCCTTCGATAAAGTCATAAATTAAGTAATTTACTTCTTGGTTAGACCATATATTACACAATGTCCCTACAAAGATATTAAAACCTTTTGGATTATATCAATGGGCAAATGTGGAAATAAATGTAGGCATGTTTTTTGTCTCTTTGCACAAAAATTAAATAACTTGCAAAATGGAGATGCAATACAACTATGTGATAATGTTTTTGTGACAATATAGTGATTGACATTTAACCTGGCTACATCATGCTTCTAGCAGCCGTTCCACTAGTCAGGCTCCTAGAAGCTATGTCAGAGATTTGAGAACATCTCAATCCTGTTAATGTAAGCATTATAATTGCTAATGTGTAGCAATGGTGCTCCTATTGGTAGTTTTTGGAAAGGGAATGGTTCTCTCCAGTCAGAGATGGCCCAAACAGCCCCTGACAGCAAGAGATTGAGTACCAGTAACACAGGCTAACCAGTCATAATTCCCTCAGGAGGAGAAGTGGAAAATTGAGGAGTACATCCCGACAGAAAAGCCTGAGGAGGAGGAGGAGAGGGAGGGGGATGAGGATGAGGAGTTACAGCAGGCCCTGGAGGCGGAGGAGGACATGACAGAACTGATGTTTGAAGAGGAAGGCTTCGACGTGGACTACAGACACAACACCTGGGAGAAGACCTACCTGGGGAAGGCCTACCAGGACCTGCGGGTTCAGAAGAGGGAGAGGAAACAGCCCACAAACATACCCAACCTGCCCTACCTCACCTGGGAGAAAACTGGACAGGCACCGGCAGGACCTTATAAGGTAAGGAAGGGGTGGGGTTTTTGCCTTATATGGTATGGAATAGTCCACCTGCAGGGCCTTATAAGGTAAGGAAGGGGATCTTGCCTTATATGGCAAGGAATAGTCCACCTGCAGGGCCTTATAAGGTAAGGGAGGGGGTGTGGGTTTTGAATTTACTTGCCTTATATGGTAAGGATATTAGCCCATCTACAGGGCCTTATAAGGTATGGATTTTTTTGCATTTACTTGCCTTATATGGTAAGGAATAGTCCATCTGCAGGGTCTATGTGTAATAAGGTTTACTCATTTTTCTATATTTGTAGACTACATGTATAGAAAAATTACTGCCTGCAGTTGATACTAAGTTTACAAAATTGTTAACACAAATTCCCTAGGTGTCTTCACACCATTCAGTATTTCAATTGCATGGAGACCTGACAATACCCTGTACTGTTTTCAGAGTCTGGAAACCTCAGACTTGAGGAAGATGAGTGTTCTGAAGAAGCCTGACTTTGTGGTCCATCCTCACAAGTACTTTGGACAGAGAACAGAGACACCGGTGGAGACTGTGCCCAAACTGCCTTCCCTGACAGACGGTGGGTCACACTGTTTTTTTCCAATCTGTAAAAATCTAGACATCGCTACGATGTATTTCTAGGAAAATAAAAGTAAGGAGCTATAAGTAACAGTGTCTAGATTGTGGTGATGAAAACACTCAAGAAACTTAAGTTCTGTCATGCATGCAGTCTTCAATGAGCTGAATTTGAGTAATTTATCAACCCTCCTGTACACATGGCATCTAATGGAACAAAATGGACCAGTACACAAAGTTACCCACATTTGTGTTTGTAACAAGACTTCTATTAGCCTTCATGCAGGAGCATATCAATGTACTTAATTGTACTGCTGACAAAAGATCTACGAATATGATCATTATGAAGTTTGAACTGTAAGTTCCAACAAAATTTCAACTGTACAACTCCATGTCTTTTTCAAGGATTGATCGATTCGCCACATTGTTCTGTGACGTCACATTATTCAAAAATAAGATTCTATGAATCTAAATGAAATTTCTATTCCACGCCACAGGCCTGAAGGCTGCCTTTGATGAGAAGACTCTCTTCCCCAAGTACATCATGGAGTTTGAGCTGAAGATGAAGTCAGTCCACGGGATGATGTCTGCCAGCAAGAAGGGACGTTCCAGCAAGAACATCCTCGCCGCCAGCAAGCCCAACCTGTCTCTGCAGAGCAAGCAGTCCATGAACTCCATCTCCAGTAAACAGTCGGCAGACAACCTCTCCCCAAAGTCCAGGATGAAGGCAGGTCTGCAGAAGGTGCAGGGGTTTCCCGACATGGGAAAGAAGGGGCACCTCAAGCCTCTGGGGAAGACGACAACGTCAGAGACTTCCAGCTCGTCTGTCCATACGTAATCGTATACGAGGCAGTGCTGTAATGTGCAGATCGAAACTCTTGTGGTTTAATTTTCGCAGTTTTTGCGTTGATCTCACACTAGAAAATCAAAACATGGCAAATTTGTTTTTGGAAGTTTAATGTACTACAGAGTTGTCTCAAATATGAACTTTAAACACCAAGAATACATGTACCTTATTTTCCCTCCTACCATGAATCAAAAGTTCAAAACACCACAATGATTTTTCATTTCTGCATATACAGCACACAAATTACATTGCACAACTTCGGAACATATCTCCGTCCACAGTGATGGAAGAGATTGATACACACTCAGAAATGTACGGTTAGCAAAAAGCAATGAGAGCAAATCAGATGTTTCTGTCCATATGTAGTTATGATATTTTGTTATGTAGAAAGTGTTCCTCAACATGGGACAGTACATTCTGTGTGCAGTGTTGGAAGAAAGTGATTACTAGACACATATGAATCATAAGCATACAGTTCGCCCATACATTGTGCCCCTGTATATACTTTGTGTAGTTTTGGGAGATTTGGACATTCAGTTACAGAGTAGATGACTCTGAGAGCAAACATCACTGATGTATTTTCTGTCCTAAAAATTCATGAGATTGACCTGTTGACATGTATCTCAGAAACAAAACAAATTCATGTTTGACCACTTAATGTACTCGTTTAGAATTTCAAGTGAGTTAAGTCGCATTCTGTGGCAGCAAAGTAAGACCATCAGACACGAGATTTGCCTGTCTGTGATTACAAGTGATATTTAGATTAATCACTGTTATTGCATAGAAGCTAAGAGATTTGCTCCAAATGTGTCCATTTGTAACTTTGATGTATTGATGTATACATGTTTAAGGAGTTGAGATTTTGTACAGAAAAATATTGCCTAATTTGACCTTACTACATGGCTGTTACTACTATTCTGTTGTAAAAAAATGCAGAATGCCCTCATGACATTGATTAGTGTATGTACATGTAGATTGTGTTTTCCTGTGTATATTGCATTACCACCACCCAAGAAAAGTGCTTATTATGTGCAGTTTGATTCATGACTACTTGAGAGGCAATTTTATGAAGATGTATTTTTGTATACTTTTGTATATAGGCTTGTGAAGGAATAAATTGGTTGACTTTCTTCAGCATAAAGATGTTTTGATGTTGTTTACCGCGTTTGCTTACCTACGTCAAGAAGGTTGTATTTGATCCTTGCTTGTGGGGGAATTGTTTGTTAATGAGCAAGTCTTGAGAAGTTGTGAATGGATCTTTATTATACATTTTACTGTTGTGAAGAAGGTCAGTTACAGAGCACAAAAGGTCCCCTACAGCAACAATGGAACATTCCCCCCACATCTGGGTTTTGAACTTGACCTTGGTCTGCCCAACAGTAACGTGTCTACTGAAAATCACGAACAACCGCCCATCTTTGCAAGAGTGTTGCTATTTACAAACTAACCATGGATTTGTCAGTAATTTGGTCATTAGTGAAAGACGGTACCAAACGTTTTAGAAGGTTCTACCATAATATATCATGTCAATCAGACCCCAAATTACACCAAATGCCAGCTATTTGACTTTTAGCAACCAATCAGCACCAAGGACATCACCACCTAGTCTTCTCATTTAATTCATTTCATTTCAGACACTATGATGTACCCCGGTAATACCATCATAGCCCGAATATAAATGGAGATCCCTTTTCAATAAAGGTGTGAAATGTTAGGATCTAATGAAGAGGTACAATTTCAAAAGTACAACATATATATAAGGCGAAGTGCTGTATAAGTTTAGCTTACGAAGTTACTGGCATGGTATCCAGTCTATCGCGGATGGCGCGGGCACTCCTCGGGCGGTAGAAGCTTTTCGCCGCCGGCTTCAACCAGGCTATCAGTTGGTGTAGGCACCTATTGTCTGTTTTGCGCGGTGGGAATTCTACCGCAACCGCACAAAATTCTTACCGAGACATAGTTAAGCCAGGGTGTGGATAACTACTAGCCTAGAGGGACCCTGAAGCCTCGAAGATAGCCCGTCCTATGCACGATAGGACTAAGGATACCAGATTGCGAAGACGTTACGAGGGTGAAGTGCGGTGCATGGATCAAAAGCGGCCCCTAGCAGTCCAGTGCAGGACTACAGCAATACGTTGGTTCATTTGCTCCTATTACTGCAGTGATGTTTTATCGCCGTTGTGGGACGCTTTTGATCCATTGCTATTTTAATGTGCCAGAAGCAGATTTTCTTTCTGAATATGAATAGAAAGGTAAGTGATACGTTAGTCAATTGATTATTCCTTAAGCCTCATTGCTCCCATCATTGCAGTGATGTTTTGTTGCCGTTGTAGGGCGCTTTCGATTCATGGCGATTTTAACGTGCCAGAACAAGCTAAGGTTTCTTTGTGGATAGAAAGGTATTTAATTGATATTAGGTGGGCGTTTGATTCTCGCCTTCTGAAAGAAATTAAATGGAGGGGAGCTACACTGAGGGGAGAAAATTACACAATACCGTAGTTGATCGATCCAAATTTTAAACGTTTTTCAAACATTCAACGTTTACATTATAAGGCATGCTGTATTAAGGATATCACCGAGAAGCACTTGAGACGATATCTTGTTTAAAGCATAACAGAAAATATGCAATTAAGGACCATGTAAAGTAAACCTGTTATAAGCAACTGTAAGGCTGTCATCTATTTAAGTAAAAGATTAAAGGAATATATTTTTGAGATTGAATCATATTAAAGAACAATATTTGTAAGACAAGCAATTATATAATGTTCATAACATTGTTCGTCTATTACTTCATAAAGCTAAGAACAACGAAACGCAAATTACGATTATTCATTAACATATGGTCAGATCACACCGGTGTCTAATCTAATTTACTTAATTGAGGATATGCAAATTATGGTGATTCCTTATTAGGTGGTAAGACCACGCTGCAGCAAGATGGCGACTGTGTACATGGAAGGTAAAGAGCTCCTGTAAAATTCGTCTTTAAAGACGCGTTACGCCCGTTTTAGGTGGTGAGTCGCACTTTTAACTGTTCTTTATATAGTCGTCACTATTTAGACCGAACGTGTTGTAATAAAATGAAGCTAAAACACAGAATGGCGTGAATTATATGTGGCGACGGTTCCCTTGGTTTATACCTGCACTTATTGAAATGGCCGTTGAGGGGCGCTTTTTAGACCCGCTGTTTTCCAAGCCTTTTAATACAATGTACTTTACTGTTTTATTTCAGTAGGGCGTATATGTATGCCATCTTTTCCCATAATGTTCTATCAATATGAGCTGTGCTTGAATGCTGTTTAACTGATGTTTGAATGAAATGCATAATATAAATTCATGTGTTGTTGGACATAGGTATTAACGAGGACGTATAATGTCCTTGGTATTAAACTGTTCTAAAATGAGGTACATGTATTTCATGTCTGATTCAATTTGCCATTGGCTATGATAGTATGGTGTTTCTTTGATATTCTGTCAAAATGTGTGTTAAGTTAAGCTTGTCATATTGATTGTTTTGATGTGATATTTGATTTGCTATGTATTTTATGTGATTTTCTATGGTCATGATAGTCTGTGTACCTTGGCTTGAATATTCTAAATTAAATTCACTCTTAAACAAAGCATAAATTCTTGCCCCAGACCCAAATCCGGTATTTAAACGACGTTTTCAAATGATGCGAGTATTACAATGTATAATGCTGTGATTTTCGTTATATTTAGTCTGTACTCTTTCTGAATGTGTCTTTCTTCTATACTCCAGGAGGATCTGTCAGCTATCCTGTGTTCCTTTCATTTTTCTTGAAGGATCTACTGTTTCTGGAGGACCTGTAACCTGTACCTACAAGAGAAGAGAACATCAGACTGACTGTGAGTTGGCTTTTATTTATAAACTCTTTCAGAAATGGGGTCTGCATGCCGCAATGCGTAATAAGCCATTATAAGTTTGCATAATTGTAAGCCCGCCGGGTTAATCTATTCACCGTTAAACTACCATCTGAGTGTGTAATAAAACACGGTGTCCAGCCAGTACAAGTGAACTGTGATATGTGGTCTCTGCTTTGCAGTATTCTGCACCTTGCCATTTCAATTTTGCATAATTTGAAGTTGAACAACTGATTTAATATCAGATGTAATCTACCTGAAACCAACCTGAGTAAGTGTAAATCGTGGTCGCTGCCTTACAGACTTTAGCATGCAAAGTGCGATCGGGACCTCCCATGCAGACCCTTTAAAGTGACAATGATAAATGTTGGGAAAGGGTATATTTGCGATCCTCTGAATTTTTCATTTTAAACGGGCAATAAAATTAACGCCATTGTTGAAACTCAGCTAGGCCCTCCCTGCTATTTGTTATCATCACTGAAAGAGTTCACATTGCTAATTAATATTTAGCTTAATGTTGTGACTAATCTTTTATTATGAATATGATGGAGAACACAATACATTTTCCTACTTAGGAGAGCATTTCTAATAATTGCCTGTTGTTTCATTCTGTATAGCAATGGGAATTATATTTTCAACAGCATTTGTGATCAAACTGTTTTCCCTGATATCCTCTTCATCATGAGCCACATCCATCCTAACCCACCACTTCAGAATCTATTATTATAATAATTAAAATGGGAAGAAAAGAATGATGGTGATACGAAACAATCAATAAAGCAACAGTTACTGTAATGTTTTAGCAAGGCATTAATAAAAGCATTCAAAATGGAAAAACTGAAATTTCATTATGATCATGAATTCTAGCTGCATTTATCAATGCACGTCATGATTTTGCATTTGTTGGTATCTTGACAAAATTGTTTTCTGATTTAAAAAAATGTAGAGTAACAGTAACTATGATTTTTTCAATTGGAACATATGACAGTATAAAATGTGAACTTAAGTTTCAAGGCAAGTCCAGATTATAAAATGTTCAACGACAAAACTGTATTATGATTTGCCCTTTTTAAAGTCCTTTCTGAAAAAGAAAGAAATGACAATATACATTTAAAAAAACACTCAGTCAAATATGGTTAGAAAATTGGGTGAAACGTTGAAAGAGACATTTTTGTTAAGATGATTACAAATAAGAACTTTATTATTTGATGAATCATGATATCCACTTCTAGCCTGGAGTGCTCTAA